ATGAAAAATTGTAATTGGAATCCGAATCGCTGAGAGGCGGACAAGCGCAAACAAGAAGGAGAAAAACATTAATCCTGAATAGATTAATAAAATATAAAATATAGCTGATATAAGAACATGAGGAGATAGCAAATCCTATAATAACATGAGAATTGGAATATCTTTCATATTCGCGTTCATTGTTCGGGCTGTGTGTAGGAGAATTAACTGGATAAACTGGATGAGAATAAAAAAATATAAGTCGTATTTGTGTGTTTTGCTTCGGTGACTTTTTTCGCTACAAGATGTCGGGAAGCACAACTACTTACGAATGCAAAAATGCAAACGACAATAAGATTACCAGATTACCAGATATTTCTTTTTTGTAGAGCTAGAAGATAAATGAAAGCAAACAAATTAATTTTAATTTTTTGACAGTTTTTCTTTATTGTTACTTGATTTAACGACAAATCTCCCTATAACGTTGTTTTATATTACTTTTTCCGATGCAATGTTACTATTTCTTTGTATAACGACGAAAAATATTTTCATTTCAAGCAATTATGAGCTAGAATAATTTTTCAAAGACATGACATCGATGGTAACATTTGAAATATTGTTGTTATTATGATCCCAACATCCCTACAAATTGCAATGCAAATTTCTATAACTTAAGCACGATTTTTCAGCTAATTTGTTGGGGTGCACGTTGCGTTACAAGAAAATCATTTAAACATAACACAAGTGAATACAACTTAGCGACGCAGAATTCATATTTAGACTTCAGGAAAAAATTTTCCGGCATTTTTACTAGAGTAATTGAGTTTATAACCAGCTTTAGACAGATTAAACAGATGAGAATTTTCGTAAAATCTCAAAATTTTCTTATATTTAATTATTTAAAATTGGTTATGTCATGTGTTTGTAAGTTAGGCAACTAAATATACACCATCTCTATAACTTACTTCTCTATAACGTAATCGAATGTATATAAAATTCAACGCAATACTGAACACAAAGATTGTCTATGGTTAGGCACAAAAAAATTAATACTACATGCCAGTGGAATGTTGTGTGGACGTGTGGGCACGTGTGAAAACCAAGCCGAAAATTTCGGACAGATATGAAAGAGCAAACGCGAGACGTGACGTGAATTCGTGTCGTTTATTAATTCGCGATGATGTATAACAAATGAAAAACGCAATCAAAATTAATTAACTTTACGGGATTACAGTTCTGTACAATAGTCATATATAAAACGAAAAGTAAAAAATACTTGTTCCAGTTTTATACATTTTAATTATTATTTCTAGTAGGTATTACAACTTCAGGATGTTTGTTTGCGTTGCTAATCGCTACTCGTAGTTCTGAGTGCATCGCAAGTGCAATATCGCAAACCACAGAGTGCACACGAATTGCACAGGGATTCACCATCCACTTTACCACCCCGTCACCCATGCCCCCGACTTCCGGGGTGTTTTCGCGACGCGCTACAAAACGAAACGAAAACAAGCGAAACCAAACACGAGTTTGGCGCGTGTTTGCGGCTTCCGCGCTGGTCAAATTTATTAAACTCAAAGGTCACAACACAGGAGGGGTGAAATTTAATACTAGGGTATAAATTTTAATAGGTAAAAACTAAAATAACAAAATTTAGAGAAAATAAATAAAATTTTTGGATCAAGTGTGACGAAAGTATCAAAGATTTAAAGTGCGCAAATCTCCCTAGAGTGCCTTGCGTCTTAAGATGTTGAGACTGTTGAGAGCGCGCGTGAGATTAGCAAACGGCAACGATGAGTTTTAATTGCAACATAAATTAATCCCGATTTTATTCATATTTCCCCACTGGCGGCTTGTACTTGTCTCGAAACTTTTCGCAATTTCCCCGAGCGCATAACAATTCCCTGCCGCGGCGCTCCACCGGGGCGTCGGCGGCGGTGTTAAAGACCGCCGCGAACAATGTAATAAGTACTCTCTGACAATAAAAGTCAAAATGTCACTGCAAATTGCGCGCCGCCGCCCGGATAAGACTTGAGTTAATCGCTCGCCCTTCATTAAACAAACTTTTGATGAGCCATACTCGTATAACGCGAACGTGTTATAATTCTAATTGTTGTTTACATTTTTTAAACCTTATATTCTTTTAAAGGAGGAAAAATAGAAGAAAATTTCTGGCATTTCAATCGCAATCTCAATCAGGAAATGACTTTGCGTTTTGTTACACACCTTGATTCTTTCTTCTTCGATTTCCTTCAATTTGCAGTGATTTTCCTCGTTTTTTCTTCGGCTTTCAGCCAGAGGAATATAAATGTAAATATCACTGAAAAACCAGCGTAAACCTATTTCTTTATTTCCCCGATTTTCTCTAGATTTCCGCACGCGATCAATTTTTTTTTCGTTCAGGTTTTTTTTTGTAAAGTTGTTTCTCGGCTGCTGCTTTTTTCGCTATTCTATTCTATCGTTCATCTCTTCATCTTGAGCCCGAATTGGAATGCGCATTCGAAAGCGTTTTCGATGCGACTGTTGGTTGTGAGTTGGTAGGTTAGGTCCGGATCGGAGGCACACTGTTATCCCTTTCGGTGTTCGCGCCAAGATTTACGGCATTCCGGGCAATATATTTTATAGTTTTCCGGAGGAAAGTGTAAGTGCGTCGCGACGTCGACCTGCCGCCGAAGCCGCCAGTGCTTTTCTAATCTTATCGCACGGCCTCCACCCCTACGAGCATCCACGTCGCTATTAGCGTGGAGAAAAGAACTAAGTGGATGACCTAATAATCCGTGCAGATCGCTCCGACAACCGTAAACCTGTAAAACCTGTGATACCTATAAAGAAATTTGTTAAATGGAAAAAGCCGCCGGTTTTTTGGCGATAACATGTTGACTAGTAGGGATGGATAATATAGAGATTTGAAAACAAAAGCATTTTTTTTTGGTTAATCGCATATTGAAAAGGGTTTAGAAAGAACAGGGCAACTAAAATAAGCGTTTTTTGAATTGTTTTGCTAAAATGTTTTGCATTTTATGTTTTTATAGATATTATAGTTTTTATTTAATAGAGTTTTGGATTTTATTCAAAAACTATTGAATAAAACCACATCAAAAATAAAGTTTGTAGTAGATCATAATCGGATGCATTGTTCCGCCAAATTTCAAAATTTAGTTTTGCGTAGTTTTGGAGTTTAACACCTTTTTGTTTTTGCCGTCGAAAAGGAAAAGGAAATGTTAATCTTTGAAACCACTCAAAATTTGACTATGAAATTTGGTGTATTAATGTATCAGGAGGTGATCTATATTGATGATGCGATATTTTGGATGGAAAAATAACAGTTATTTGCAATTTTCTAAAAAACTGTAACAGATTCTCCTCTGGAATTTTTTTTTTCGGAGACTGTAGCTAGACAAAGAAATGCCCTAAGTGTGGTGTTGATTGGGTTGCCTGTTTCTGCAAAAAATGCTAAGCAAAATCAACGATTTGTTGCGATTCTAACCTCCATTTAATTTTGAAAAGAAAAACAGTTTAGCCGTTTTCTAAAAGATGGCACCATCATACACCATGTGTGACAGAGAGTTGGCTGTTTAATATACATAATATTGAGCGTACAGATTTGAAATCGTGACATTGAAGGAGATTTCTCCAAGCACATTTCAAAACCTTCTCTTAAATAAATGTCAAGTGTTAATTGCTAATAAAAATATATCTACATATATACTTAAAATTATAAGACACCTAAAACCGCGTGTTATGACGTTTCATGTTTGATTCTCAGTGATAAATTCCAAGTGTCTTCGCAAATTTCCCAATGTTTTTATAGTCAACTTCGCCAATAATCATATAACTTCTCAAGTATGTAAAAGTTGGGTTATGAAAAGTTTTCCCCTTCCGTTGTCAAAGATGGCCGCCGGCGGCGTTCCGATGAAAAGTAGAATAGAGCATTTATTATTTACGGCCGACCGGATTCCGTATTCGACTTATTGCATAAATATCTCCGCTGTGAGCGTAAACGCGCAGACGAAAAGGAAAACGATGCGAAGACAACGAGCACACAGCATCGTCGCACGACAATGACCTCCGCGCGCGCATTCTCCACCACGTCCTGTTCATTTTCCTCATCGTCTCTCGGACTTGCTTTCCTTAATAATAGTTTTTTTTTTCATTCGGTGGAAAACTGCTTTCGCTTTTTTTCGTGCGCGCACACACGCACTGGCGAAGTGAGCAGCCGCGGCAGCGTTTCCATTCCATTTCCATTCAGGCATTCATTCCGTTTGCAACTAACTGCGGAACGCAGGACGCACCCACAGGGCGGAATGAACTCATGGTGCAATCGTCGGACGGCGGTGCTATTAGATTTTATGGGGCGCCGATGCGCCCCGCTATTGTCGTCGCCGTGGACGTGATCGTCTTTTTCAGCAAAAAGTGCCCGCCGTTTTTTTTTACACAAAAAAGCAAATATCTTAGAATTTTTGTCGTAAAACAGTCGCAGCCAGAAAGGAGTGCACTCTGCGTGGCATATTTTATTTGACCACGAGGGAAAAAAAACTCATCCCTACACAAACAAACGCATGAAAATATTTGAAATGCGCGTCGTTGTTTCAACCCCATCAACGCCAGTCCAACGAATTCAATTAGCGCGCGCTGCGTTAGATTTATGTCGTGTTGTGATTAAATTGCGACGCGAAAAATACCGACGAGACACATTGCGGCGGTTTATTTTTGCATATGAATGCGAAATGGGTGTTTATTAAAAAGCATTCAGGAGTATATTATGCGCTTGCATGCCTGCGAGCTTTTTATTACGATTTAAGCCGTATTTAATTTGTATTTTTGGGTATAAATAATAATTTTTTTCTATTTCTATCTTAAAAGAGACACGAAAAGTGGTACTTTAACAACGGGCGACCAAAACCGTGACTAAAGTATTTTAGTCATGGGGTGGAGCTTACGCATGCGCCGTCAGTCAAACAAATCAGCAGCAGCGCACTTGATACTTAATATACTAATAATATTTTTGTTTTTTTTTGCAGATTGGGATCATGAATCGACAGCTGGCGATGTCTTCGACCGCATCATGAGCCATGCGGTGGTGGGCGGCCGCTTTGGGGGTGGTCGTCGGACTGCTCGCGGTCGCCGCCGCCCTACCCCCGGTTATTAAAATTGGTAAGTAGAAATATAATCCGTCTAAAAACCTTTTATATTTTTTGCTCCGATGATTTCTAATCTGAATTTTTTACCTCACTGATTATTTTTTTAATATTTGACCACGGCCTCAACTCATTCATCAAATTGACTTTCCGGTTTGTTTTTCTCCAGCATCTTTCGCTGTTTTTCATCCTTTCGTGCATGATAATATAATAAATCAAGTTCTTTTGCTTTTGCGTTTCCACGGCGCATAATCTAGTGACATGCTGACTAAAACGGGGTCCTTGTTATCTTTTGAGGTTAGTTACGTAACATTTCAAGGTTATGTTTGCGTGCGATTGTGTTTTTTAATGAGAAATGGTGCAAAAGCTAACCTAACCTCAATTTCAGTTATTGAGAAGATGTATATTTCAAAGGGTTCTCCCTATGGGCATAGGTTTATTAAATATACAGGGTGTTCATTTTTATAGTTTGAAATTAGAGGAATTTCAGTTTTTTTTTTACCAGATTTTAAAATAATTTTTTTTTCTTGTTATTTTTTGCTAAAAATAATTTCTTTTCACACATTGTATCTTAGAAAGTATAAAGGAAGTATAGGTTTTGTATGAAATGTGTAACGAACTTCACGCCTTGATTCCCTCGGGCGATGAAAACCCATATAGCTCGGACAAGGCACGTGCCTAGCTGAGTGTGGGCGTGTATTTTTTGCAACTTTCAAATTGTAATGATATGGACGTAGGCGGTGTTTACAACTCACAGTTTAGGTCCTACACCTTTCCACACATACATACACACACAAACGCTTTTACAATCCTGCACAGATCATTAATTCCAGACCCAGTTTTTTTCTACATTACCTTCGTTTGTGCGCGCGAAAATATTTTTCGGATTAATTTTTTAAATTTATATTTTAGTTATGCAAAAATAGTAAAATTCCTCTTTTTTTGTGAAACGTTGCTTTTTTATATTATTAAAGTGCGATGAAGGCTTTACATCCTTCCCCGGCATCCTTTTTTCATACATCCGGCACATTTTGGAAGGAGGAGGGAAAGTAATTCATTTCTTATTTTTTTACGAGCGGCCTTTGTGATCGTAAAAAAAGTGCCATAAAAAATGTGTAATCATTTAAACAGATTTATTTTTTTGAAATTTTATGACATAAAGTAATATAAAGTAAAGTTGCGCCGATATAAATCATAATCATATAAATGCATTGTGTTGCAATATGCATCGCTCGAGTGATAGACGCGTATCACTTTAGTTTTGGTCGATGCTCCGTTGTGAGCGGCAACGTGACGGTAACATATTGGTACGAACATTGAGTGCAGTGTTGCAAGCAAGCGATCGAATTCTCGTCGGGTGATGGGGAGAAGGAATCTGGGATTGAATTACAGCCGACAGGCGCGCGCGAGGCGAACGTGAACACGTTAAAATGTTACGCTTGCCGCGTTTAGAACTGAAACGTTTTTATTATCACCGGGGAAAAGTTTAGTTTAAATCAGTGGAGATTTAGTTTTTTCAAAAAACTATTATCATTTCAGTTGTCGATACAACCATTGTTATTGTAAGTACAAATACTTTATTTCACATGTTCGGGACTTATACCGCAAGTCAAAGCATTGGTGTTTTTAGAATGTATGTATATTTAGTTGTCTATCTATCGTCGAACATAAAATATTAGTATAAATACCGATATTCCGATAGTAGGGATGTAAAATACCGTTTTTTTTTTAAATTCAAATACCGATATTTTTTAATATTTAAAAAAAATACCGGTTTTAAATTTAAAATTCACATTTCTAAAAACTTTGTTTTTTATATGCATTTTATTTGTGCAGATGTGATTCTTGATAGCCCTTTGAAACACTACCGAGTAGTTAAGCGCTATAAGAAAATTCATTTGTTTGCGTCTCGTCGATTGCTCTTTGCGATTCTTTCCGCGTTCCGCGTCAATGGTGATGTAACAAAGCGCTCGCTTGATGCTTTTTGCTCCGTGCGGTCGCCATCAAGGGGATTCGTTAATTGCGCCGAGTGACAGCGCAAGAGCTCGTAATCATCGAGAGCCGCCCGCGTACTTACGACCTAATAAATGCGATGCGGACAATTAGTCCATTCCGCTTCCACAGTCAGACAAAAAAAAATAACGATCTACGCGAAAGATTTAAGTTTGACCCAAACTCTTATTCCGTTCGTACACGCGTATGTCTCCTCAATAAGGTCACATTTTTTTCCGAAATAATGTTGCTATAACTAAGTACAGCAAAAGATTCAAACCGGATGTAATTCCAGCATCTGAAATGACGTCGTTCCGGGCCTCGGGCGGAAATGAGGTCTCGAAATTAAATTATCAATCCTCTCGTCTTGGTTTGTCAGCGTGCGACATCATATTAAATCAGTTCAATCAGAGTTTCCAACCTCCAACACGTTGTAACATCTGTTATCCTATGTTTAGTTGAATCATTGCACACACGTACACACAAACGTGGAACTAGTGCAACAGCCCGCCGTTAATGTTTATGCTCGTGTTAGGTTATGTTCAATTATGTGTGTAGTTGTGCGTTTGCATTCCTATTCCGATTCCAGTTGATGTTTATGTTTGCGCCCGTTCGTTCTGTAAGGAAATCGCATTTATGTAAAACCGTGTTACACCGAAGCCTTGAACCGGAAACGACTACACGAATAAATACCGCCTTCGGTGCGCCATGGACATAAATGTGTTTGTGTTTGCAGCCATATTGAAAACGTGCTCAAATTGCTACAGCGCATTGAAATCGGGGATTTTATTGGTGTTAACACGACATTAATGTTGATAGAATTATATGGAATATCTTTCCGTCTATTCAGCGCCGTGATTTTCTAAATTTGGGATTGATTTTTAGTTTTGTGTTTTTTGCAGGGGCGATATTCACACAGGAGCAAAAGGGCAGCATCGCCGAGCTGGCATTTCGATACGCGGTGCACAAGATCAACAAGGATAAAACGCTGTTACCGCACACGACACTCGTCTACGACATACAGTATGTTCCCAAGGATGACAGTTTTCACGCCAGCAAAAAAGGTAATATTTAGTTGAACGAAATGATGATGTTGGGGTATATTGCGAATAAAATTATATTTGGACATGTGGTATACATAATTCCTTGGCATTTTGACGAATATTTATCCAAGCAAAACGAACGTTAAAATACGCTGCCGATCGAGCTGCCGACCGGAAAAGTGATCAAACATTCAGCGTTCGGATTATATCATCGCACCAATCTGGTGCCGTTGTTATGTTCCGCGCGCGGATCAGCCGTTGGAGCTGATGGAAACGCTTTATATTTGTAAATATGCTACGGGATTTTTTTGAGATGATTGATGAGGCCATGTTTTATGTCTCAGCCTTCGTGGGTCAGTTCACTTTTAATTCACTTGATTTGCTTTAGTAAAATAGAGCTACCGACGGGGTACTGGTAATTTTAGTATTTTTAGTTGCCGTTAAGAAGTCGTGGTAGAGAATTTGCATTTTAGTTTGAATCATACTGACTTATAAATTGTGAGAGACGTAAAACAAGCTATTTTCTGTTATTTTTTTATTACAGATTTAACTTGATTTATATATTTTAATTTGTAATTTTATGTCACCGATTATTTGCTATTGCTTTTAACATGGTATTATTTTATATTTTACGCGAGATGTATCCTAGTATATAGGATATATGTATATTTTAAATAAATAATCTTTTGTTAAACTGTATGCTTCTTTATTTTTCTTTATTTTATTCTGTTTATAGGCATTTACATATATTTTCTTTGCTGCTATGTTTCCAGTCGTAACTGTATGTATACCTCTAAATAACATAGGGGCACGTGTTTACTCAAGGTTGTTTTTAAAAATTTAATAAAAACAACAATATATATAGAAGAAACAAATAGACTTAAGTAAGAGAGCTGAATGGCTCAGTGGTATATGCATGCATTTGGTATGCTAGGGGTCCTCGGATCTATACCCAGATTCTAAAGGCATTTTTCTTAAATATGAAAATAAATTCGAGAAATGTGGGTTGCCTGTGCAACGAAATTCGAATTCAAATAAGAATAAATAAGAATAAGAAGTTAGAGTTCAAAGCAAGGAAAGTAACATAGAAGATGGATGAATGAGAGAGAGGGGTTGTAGAGAAGACGAAAAAGAAGAGTAAGAGTTAGAGACATAAGAGAGAGCAGGGATAGAAAGAGTCACTCCGAGACAGGAGTGGCAGAAGTCTTAAATTTTTTGGCACGTGTCGTTATAAGACAGTCTACGGTCGATCTCCCAGAGCGCCTCCGGCGCTCTGGTCGATCGCCCACTGCTTCGATTCTTCCATTGCTCCCGGCCCAACCTACAGCTACGATGTCTCTGCGCTTCATCCCCGGATTTCTTAGGCATATCAACAATTTTTATGGTGGGGGATCATCCCCTGAGAGGGGGAACTCCTTATAAGGACAACCCAGATAAGGACTTGTAAAAATATTTCAAGTGTCGCCTCTACTAGAGTCGACTAACAACTGAGAAATACTTTCCAAGTCCTTACCTACCTGTTCCTGAAATGATAGAAGGGGTGCACAGAAAATAGAAGTCGCAATATCTTGTTTCCTCTCTTTATTAAGACATGTTTTACATATGTAAACTAGTACAATAAAAATTTAGACATTTAAATTTACATTTTAATATCAACCATACCAGTTTAGCCTCTCGTGCACATGCGGACATGTTGAGACACGTCTCACGACTTAGCCCAGCCTCCACATGTGACTAAGTCCTACAAGAATAACACAATAAAGATACCGACATATTTTCTGCCTTTTTCGCTACATGTGAAAGAAAACTAATATACAGGGTGTTTCAAAATGAAAATGCAACATCTAAAAAGAAAAATACTTAAAATCATGCAGCCTCGCGCATTTTCTGAGGGACTTAAAAGAAAATTAATATACAGGGTGTTACAAAATAGGAAAACTAACTAAAAAAAAACTCAAAATTTGCGAAAAGAAACTTATATGTAAAAAAGGTATTGCAGGACAGTAAAGAAAATTGTTATACAAGGTGATACAAAACCCAAACACACACATTTTAAAGGAAATTTCAAACACTAGAAGAGAAACACCGAAATAATCAAATTATTACTTGATATTAAGGGTAAGTGTTATACAGGGTGATATAAAATAAAATCATGAACATTGCAAACAAATTTTTAGAGAATTACGGAAACAACGACGATAAGTTTAAATTTTTACCTTTTTCCTGCTGCTGAGAATTATTAAAAAGTGTAATACAGGGTGATACAAAAATCAAAAAATAATTCTTTCAATTCTGCATCTTTATTTATTTATTCTTTATTATCCATGTGGACTAGAGTATAAAGAAATGGAATGCGCGTTTACTGAATAATCGGACCAAAACACGTGTATTGTCACTTGTCACTACTGATGCTTGTCTGGATCAACGCGATCGCGAACAGAACAACCAGATATTTGACTAACATTAATTCGATGATAACAAATTGCCAATTAATGTCCAATTAATAATTTAATAATTTAGTTATTGCTTTACCTGGCTATCTTGCATCGGAGATTTGCGACAAGTGCTGAAACAAAGAAAACAAGTTTAATAACAGTTCGTCTCGAGAAACTCAAACAAATCACTTTTAATTAATAAACTTTTGACAATGACTTTTTAAAAATTATCAAAAACAACCTTATTTATCAACAATTTAAGGGTACTTCCTAAAAATTCACGGAGGCTGAAATTAGTACAAATTGATTACCGCTGTAAATTGAAGGAAACATCATGAAAATCGAAGAAAGGATTCATCAGGAACAGAATGTTCCAACACAACTTTTCATAAATTATCAAATAATCGCTTCGCAAGAAAAAATTGCCAAGGGGGGGGGTGCTTGATACTTTTTTTCGACGATTTTCAAAAATTCATATCTCTTAAACTAAAAGAGATAGCTACTAACGAATTGTTGATTATGAAAGATTGGAAGATTCTCTATCAGACAAAAATATAAAATAATTATATTTCCTACAGTAAAAGGTCGAAAAACGCGACTAAAAGTGCTAAAAAGTGACATTTTGCAATTTTGCCCATTTTATTCAATCGCGAATATCTCGTAAACTAAAAGAGATAATTAGGATCTGATCGCAGCGTCTTAATCTACAGACCAATTTCTATCAGATAGGCTATTTAAAGTGGAAATCTGTGAGATGAAATTTAGATATCCACGGTAAATTTCAACGCGATTTAATTCAAGCAGCGAATAAAACAAATATTAAACCGGCAGAGGAAATTAGTTTTATCACGCGTTAGAAAACCACAAAAATAACTTAAAATTCCGGATTAATATTTTAATTAAATGCTCTTGACGCGGTCAACAAACACTCTAGACATAATTATTTAGTACCACAATATCTTATGTCTCAATTATAACTGAACGCCAACGATTGTTCCCCGAATATATAGCAATTTACTGGATTCAAATCCCGATACACGTGCCAGTAGAACGCGTACGAATCGACTGACGAACCGAGATATGAAACTAAATAAGTTGAATCTCTACCTGCGATTGAAATGAGAAAGAGGGAGAGGGCACAGGTACGACACGGCAATGCAGCAATGCAAAACACAATAAACAAAACAATACAAAAACCCATAGCTGAGCCCATCACATACAATTTATAATATTAACTGGTTGCAATACTTTAGTGTGTTAAAGGTTTAGAAGTATTTGACGATTAAATAATAAAAATTGAAATTTGTTTCAAATCAGTCAAGATACCCAACAAAAATGTTTCATGTCTTCATGAATACTTTGGTTTATAAGTTATGACAGGACAGTTGACAGTTGATTAATGCTAATTGAAACCGCTCCCGAACGGCCCTGTTTGCGAATCGGAATGCTGGCGGAGAAAAGAAGGGTTCTTGTTGTTTCAAACAGGGCAAAAAAGTTTTTCTCTAATTCGCTTCGACCTAAGACCCGCAGGGCCTGCAAGCGGCCGCAAGAGGGTCTTAAACTCGCAGTTAATCATGCTGAAGACGGCTTGCCAGCCGGGGGAAACTTTCTTTAGACTTTTGCCTCGCTCACAATTCACGACTCAATCCCGCGCACTTTTGACATAGGCCTAGTAGACCCGTAGACACAATCCAACCAATACTTTCCACAACCACCAGAATAACATTGCTTGTTAACTAGTTAACTTGCTAACTGGGTGACACGTGACATTTTCAAAACTTCCTGATTTGCTTTTGATCCATCATTTGTAACTGCCAGCCAATATAATGCAGTTGTTGCTAGTATTTACGGTCGTGCCATATTCGACGCAACTATAAATAATATTGCACCAGGAGATAGAAGCATGAGCCTGGCACATCGCATGATTAATTCGCAGGCTACGCTAGTTAAACCAAACATATTTTCAAAATGGCACCGTTAATAATGAATGCGAACGCGGACGTAAAACGCAAATCAATAAATTTATAAATTATGCGCGCGGGTTTCGTTTTAAGTGCCTGACAGTTATACAAAATTGGATTTCGCAAACATTTCACAAAAAAATATTTAATTTAATTAACCGCGTGGCAAAGTTTGTGTTTGATCTCACCTGACTTACCTGAGTTGGACGTAATCAAATTTTCCTCCGCCAACCAACAAAAAATTAATTTAATACGCATTTTGCGCTTCACATCGCACAAGCAAATTTCGGCTAATTAAACTCGATTGCCAGAAAAGTACACTCGCATCCACAAGCCTCTTATTACATTCCCTCGCACGCAGAAAATCGTAAAAAGTCAATTTCCGTAATTTAATTCCAAACATTTAACCACTTTTTCAATCTCTTCGGCGTTTTTTCGCTTTACTTTGCGCGGAAATTACTTTGGGATGAGAGGAAAAAAAAGTAAACGTAAACGAACATAAAAATGTGCTTGTTTTTCTGTTTGGTACATGAACATACAAACGATGCTGTTGGATCGTTGTGGCACGCAAGACAGGCGAATCTTAGCCTCCCAAAGGCTTTGTCAACTGCGCCCCGTCAGTCTCAATCTTCCTACTTCCTACTATCTTGTTTTATAAAAATCCAGGCGAAAAACACGTATCAAACTGGTCGTAGAAGAATTACATGAGACACACCGAGCATTTCGTGTTGGGAATGTGGAAAAAAGTTTCAAAAAAGTAAAGAGCAAAAAAAGTTGAGGGAAAAAAGTAAGTTGTAAGACATCGCATGAATGCTAAACATTGTTAACTTTTGATTTGGTGATTTATAGTTGTAAATTGTGCGTAAAATTATTTTATTAAGAAAATTTTCCGAAATTTTATGTTAAAATTACGTTTTGATGATTTATTTGAGTTAATTAATTTATTTTTATCAACTCAACACTTCCCGTGTAAAGACAAATTAATTGGCCACCTATTTATCACATTAATACCATGTTGGCAATGAATTTTCCACATCTACAACATTTTTTATCTTCAATATTTTTTCATCGTTAAGCGCTTCCCACAAGTCACGTCAGAGCTTTGCTTCCCTACATCGCGGCGTGAAAAATGTTTATCACGTACTCGCCTCCTTTTTCTACTTCCCCACTTCTTTCACCTCCCACCCCCGCGCGCCCAAGGAGCAGTTCTTTCTGGTTGCCGGTGTTGACGATGTTATAAAATACTTTTTCACTACTTTTCGATCCACCACCACGACTGTACGCAGGACATTTTGGGTTGGATTTTGAGTGTTGGCCCGTAAAACGTGCACAATGGCCGAAAAAAGGTTGCGAGGGTGGTTTTACGAGTCATCAAATTAGAGCCAACGGGAATCTGTTATGATAAAGATTTACACTCGTCGCTTTACTAGCGCTGGGGTACATAAAGAGGTGATAACCCGCTTTGGGAGACAAACCCGCTCGAATAACTTCAAATCATACTAACGGGGATGATTTAATACAAAGCATTATATATTATCCCAACCACTTGTGATTATTGTTGGTATTTATGAAGGAAAAACTCTTAAAATCTGATATCCAGCATAGTTAAATTGAGTAAACTCGATAAAGTCTAAATTCAATCAGATCGCTACCCACAAAGGTGTGCAGACATCACCAATATGCCGGCGGTGCGAATCGGGAAAGCTTCGGGTAAACCCAAAGGGGGCGCCCGGGCGAATCCCCTTAATCGCGTTAATGGCATCAAAGAATCCGTTTCGCGCGCGCGAGACGCGCGAACGAAAGTAAACTTTGGAAGTGCGAGAGTTTAATTGCTGCACTCGAGGATCCCCCTTTTCACCTGAATTCGACTTGAACAGTCAAGTCTATTGCCTCAGTATTTGAAGGTTAGTTTCAGTAATTAATCGCAAAATCAAGATGGCGATGTGCGCGGCACATTTATCACGCTCACAATAACCGAAACGTATAAATGAAACAAAGCGATTTAAAAGTCGCCGACGAAGTTTTAAATTGAAAGCCACGAAACAAAGACGGAAGTTTCAGAAAGAAAAATCCAAGGTAACTCAAGCGTTACTGAATCGTGTGCAAGGTGCACTTGCTGCGCATGCAAAGACGTGCACGCCAAGAGTCTCCGAGTTGCGAAACTTTTCCATGCGCTGAGTTTTGCTATTTTTGCTCTTTTATTAAATTCTTCGCAACACATTGAAGCGAAACGTAATCCTCGGCAACTTTTGCGATAAACATCGCGCGCCACAAACAAAACTATAACCGGAAGTACAACTAGAAAATAACTTTTAAATGCTGCGACTAGTTTTTGACAGTGTCTGCGAGTGAGGTCTATACGTATTAATCAAGTTTCTGTGTGATTTTCGCGTTTGCTCCGGAAATGTTCCATCCACGCAAAATACAAGCGCGCATAGTGCTGCTGGTTTCCTGCTGGTTGAACAAGTCTCCGAGTATAGATAGTAGTAGAATCGGTGATGCTCGCGGTGAAGCCCGGCTTTCAGACCTTTTTGGACGCGCTCCAGAATGCACTTAACGAAGTTATTTAGTTAGAGGTGGCATAAAGTAGCCGGGGACTACACGCTATTACAGATTAGTGTTGTCGGCGCGCCGGGAGTAACCGAATTTTGATAAAACCCAACTCCGACTCCAAACACTCAAACTAGTCTCTGGTCCTTGGACTAGTGGAAGTGTATTACTAACCGTAGAATGTCCCTTTACATTTTTTACTCGGCGAGGTAAAGAATACAGGGAATTGGCAAGCAGGCAAATGTACATCTCTCATATTTATCAGTACTTTGGGTTGCTGACTTACCAAGTTTTCGACGCTCCAGATAACCTCCAAACTCCGCCATTTACTAAATAGGAATGTGCGGCAGGCGCGCGATGTAATAAAACATGTCGAGCGTGGTGCTGGTGCTGCTCGTGGTGCGCAGTTGGCATTAATATTGTTTTGCAGGATCACCGCCGAACTTGGACCATTTCCAATTCACTTCCAATTCAGTCACATCTCCAGGAAAGCCACGGCGAAACTGGAAATAACATAGTTTTTGTTAAAATTACCTCCAAACCTGTCATTTCCATGCATAATCTCAAAATATCTTATGTTTTTGTTTTGCAGCTTGTAATCAAGTACGATTTGGGGTGCAAGCGGTGTTTGGTCCTTCAGACCCTATGCTGGGCTCACATATTCACTCGATATGCGACGCCCTCGATATTCCGCACCTGGAGGCGCGCCTGGATCTCGACACCGATGTTCGCGAGTTCTCCATCAATCTACATCCGGCGCAGCATCTTCTCAATGCTGCTTTTCAGGACGTCATGTCCTTTTTAAACTGGACACGGGTTGCTATTATTTACGAAGAAGATTATGGTGAGTTTGAAATTCTATCCCGTGACTAAAATACTTTAGTCACGGCTATGGCTGATCGTGATTAAAGTGTCACTTTTCGCGTCTCAAAACCGTGGATAAAGTAGAAAAATTATATTTTTAATATTTTTGACTTTATTATTGCAGGGTTAATAAAACTACGAGAGTTGGTGCGCTCGCCACACAACAAGGACCTAGAGATTCATATTCGCCAAGCCGATCCGGACACATATCGCGCCGTCCTCAAAGAGATCAAAAGCAAGGAGATTCACAACATTGTCATCGACACGAAGCCCACGAACATGCATCACTTCCTCAAAGGCGTAAGACGTGTGCATGGCTTTTTGAAAAATCGAACTCCACACAGCAGGATGACGCTTTATCATGTTTTATGTTTTTTTCTATAGCGATTTATCATTTTTTTCGCAGATATTACAATTGCAAATGAACGATTATAAATATCACTATCTCTTCACGACGTTCGACATCGAGACGTTCGATCTGGAGGACTTCAAATACAACTTCGTCAATATGACGGCGTTCCGCGTCGTGGACGTCGACGACCTGGGCGTACAAGAGGTGCTTCGAGATATGGCGCGTTTTCAACCGCCGGCGCCGAGCGTCTCTTTCAATTCGTCCTTTATTCAGGTCGGTGTATTGATATGGCTGCATTCCTCGTTTATTATATTCGCATAACGCATAACACACCCGTGAATACTTAACATACCGCAAAACCACAAGTAATTGTTTTTGTAAAGTTCAATTGCTTGCGGTTTCAGTCTCCGGACCTTTTAATTTTCTAAAAATTTATTTCAACGTAATTGAAGACCTTAGACTTCGTTGATTATGTTAATTTTAATGATACGTGTCTTTGGCACGCAGTCAAGTCTGTACTTTGCAGCTAATTTGTCAAAATAGCCCTCCAATTGTTTTCAATTTTCGAAATAATCGCGCAGTTCCGTTAAAACCGGACATTTTCCACGCCGCCGACCACAAAACGATAATTCGAAAATCAATCGTGGACAACGCGCGTGAAATACGAGATTTAAATCGCCGTGAGGCGGTAATCCGATCGCGGGCATAACGTCGATCCGTTTAACAGTCATTTCCGGCGGCTGCGGTCGAAAACATTGCGCGAAACCTCATCCACACGCCCCGAAACTTAAAACTCAAAAGTCAAATAATCCCTGCACTCACCCCGGCATCAGAATAACACTAGTCTAGGCACATTGATTTGTGTTTCCCTCGATTCCTCTACATCTACACGCACACCACACGTTTGGTTAGCCATCGATAATAATAATATGCGTGACCAAACGTACGCGCGCTGTGGGGATGCTCAATGATGCAGAGAGGTCTGAACTTACGTTCCTGGGGACTGCAGGTATAACACAGTGCACAAACCACCCTCGTGTGCCTGCTGATTTATTATCGCTATTCGGGCGTGTGCTCGCGGTCGAGGCAGTGTGCAGATGTCTGGAAAACACACGCCACGCGCCAAACCAGGCCCTGAAAACCCCTCACTCGGGTAATACGGTCAGTTGACCACGTTACCCGCACGTTTGTACAATTGGCAATCGCGGTAACGCCAAAAATCGCGCGCCAAATGTTTGTTTTGACTTTTTATCGTGCGAAAATTTTATCATCACGAACACAAACTGTTTATACAATATAGTTTTATTTATTTTGTGATTTTGGATTATTTCCATGCAAATATTGAATGAATAACGAAAAAAATTAAATTTTGAACGAAAATTTCTTTTTTCAACTTTAGGCGGAAGCAGCATTGATGTACGACTCAGTGTTCGTGTTCTCAATCGGCCTGCAGACTCTGGAGCAGTCGCACACCCTCAAGCTGTCGAACGTGTCCTGCGACAGAGAACAGCCCTGGGACGGCGGACTGAGCCTCATTAATTACATCAATGCGGTGAGTAGCAGAAGACTCACTTCCACCACCATGACTTCTTCCGTCCTTCTCGCCGTCGCATTTTAATTCGCCCTCAATATTCTAATTATTCAAATTTTAAATTTTCTTTTCCGATGACTTACTCGTATATAAGCCGGGCTTTGGCGGCGTAGATGATGAAAAGTTTTTATAAAGTTATCAAGTTATGTTTTTAACTTTCCACGGTCGTCGTTTGTCTGCATGATTAGATATTTCCACAGGGTTGGATTAAAAATATATCGAGTTGACAGAAACCACGTCACGCACTCGCCTAAATCCCACAGTTTATCTTATCCACCATTCATATACATATAATTCCGCCTTTTCCTCACTTTTGCGCCCAACCGCAACACCCATGCGGAGAGAACTTGAACGTTGCATAATACATGAAGGTTGTACGCACATAAATACAATAATACAGAATCTACGCGTCGCGAATAGTGAGATTTGAGTTTTCGCATTCCGCGCACGAAAATCTCGCACGCCGTCGGCGGAATATTCGATTTACGTGCATCATATTTAATTTAATTCAATCTCCATATGAACACACTGTATGTCAAAGTCGTAATGTCCACTAATGACTTGTATTTATCGAGTGTCTTGAGATTCGCTTGACGTGCGGCTTGAGTTTGAGTTGATTTGATTCAACTCCAGTTTGTAATTGCTATTATGTTAATGCGGTTAACTCAGCACGTCAACATCTCCATCGGGCATCTTCCCAACATTCCCTCGTCAACGTCTTCCCATTACGATTTGCACGCGAGTATGTTGGGGACAATGTGTTGTTGTAAGTGGGGGATGTCGTAAAGGGTGCATGAGTGGGGGTGCGTAAACAATCCCGGGCGTAGACAGCCTAATTATGTTTGTTCAACAACTTCAATTCAGGAATTTCGACATTTTCAACGTAAAAATTGAATTTTTAGTGAAAAAAAAATTTGTAACACCCTGTACATCCAACTATAGTAGTACAAAGCTAGAAAACTTACTCAGCCCATGAATTTCAACATTTTAAAAGTGAAAATTGAATTTTTACTTGAAAAATATTCTGAAACACCCTGTACATCCTACTATAGTAGTACATTAACTAGCTATGATCTGATTTCATCAAACAAAACTAGAAAACTTACTCAGTCCACGAATTTCGATATTTAACCTAAAAATTGAATTTTTACTTAAAAATACTTTCTGTAACACCTTGTACATCCTTCTATAGTAGTACATTAACTAGCCATAATCTGATTTCATCAATCAAAACTAGAAGACTTACTCAGTCCATGAATTTCTTCATTTCAAACTTAAAAATTGAATTTTTACTTAAAAAATATTCTTTAACACCCTGTACATCCTCCTATAGTAGTACATTAACTAGCCATAATCTGATTTCATCAATCAAAACTAGAAAACTTACTGGAAACCTCTTCAAACGCACAAACTTTGCACAACTTTTTATTATGACAGTTCGCAGTTGTTCATTGTGTTGTGTTTTGTTAACTTATTGTTGTTCGCAAACTTTTATAATGCGCGCGTATAGTGGTTTCAATTTTCTTGCGCTTTGTCATATAGTTAAATCTCTAACCCCTCGACTATGTTCTGTTGTCGAAACTTGAATGTTGAATGTTTAATGCTTTAATATGAAATCATAAACTCTCTCAACGAAGCAGCATGAATGTAAGCAAGGAGATTTTACTTCCGAAACTTACTCCAGAAGTGAATTCCGAGCCGAGTGGTTTTTATTACGTTCGCGAAGAGGATTACTATCTTTGCGCCCGGATGGGGAAATTTTTAGCGCGTTTGTTGTCACAATAAAAACTTCCCCGGCGTCTTGGCCAATTTTTGCAAATACAATATACCCAAAAAACTAGTTTAAATTTAATACAAACTTACAAAGATAGGGTTATGTTGAGTTTCACGCTTCAACAAAGTGATTTTTTGTGAATTTTTGTTATATTTTAAGATATTGCGCGTAATGTAGTATGTGTTTGTGTCAAATTTTTCACTTGTTTGTTATTTTTTATGAAGGGGTGGTTTTGAACGTCGGCCAAAAGCGTTTTACAACACTTTGTTCTTCTTACAGCGGCGAACAAAAGCTCTTTTCTCTTTAAAATCCAGCGCGCGCGCAAATTTCTTCCTGCGAATTCTTTTATTTCATTTTCTTGCTTTCACATAAAACTTGCTTTCATCCTTAATTTGCCGCCACGACGCTTTTTAAATGATTATAAATTAAATCCAAGTACAAAATACATGAATCATGATATTAAGCTGTGTTTTTTCCATTCTTTTGAAAACAATGTTTGAAAGACGCGGTTGTCGAAAATAAATTTCATTGTGCTTATATGAGAATAATTATGGTTGAAGCTTCCCGCGCACAGGAACTAAGTGTTTGCCGGGATTCGTGATGAAGGTCCCGAGAGGTGGTCCCGGGACAAGGGTCCCACCATCCCGTCCCGGCCAGCTATTATCTGCGGTTTAAATGCTTAATGAATACATTAATCGGCGTAAAAATGCGCTGCTAGCTTGCTGGTAAATAATTTATACGCGTTTGTAACCCGCTTGTTCCCGAATTTATGCATTCCTCGCCTTCGTCCACACTAACAACTCCCGTTGAAGCACGTAAGGTTGTTTCGCCAAATTAAAATCATACCATGCACATAAATTACTAGCATATACAAGTGGATATACACTGTGTTTAAAGAAACAATTAAAGTTGCATACATTCACGTCGATGAGACTATTCCTGAGCGCTTGCTTCGGGCAATTTAACCCCCATTCACATCATTCACACTATAACTGACAAAACGCGTTTAAATGGAGTGTCGCGCTCGATGAGCGCACACAAGGGATGATAATGCACCCCGACGACAATGAGCGCGAAATTTAATAACCGCCACCCAACGCGCCTACACGCATCCGACGCCATATTGATTCGTTAGCAGCTCGTTAAAAAGTCCACCCCCGCAGCCGGCTTCAAAGCGTACGCACGTGTCAAACATGCGTGTGTATGTGTCAAAGTATGTCGAAGTCAATTACGGACGTGTAATAACTCACACGAGTGACTGACTGACATTTCAACTTTTTTTTCTGTTGAGTAATGCAATTTTATTATTAATGTCGCTTTCTCTTTCGCACTTTCAATGCGAAGAAGAAAAAAAATAGTCAACGAAAGTGGACGCCATTTGTCGAACGACGCGACATATCTTTCAATAGATGGCGCTCGTTTAGTAAATTGCGCGTCATCAAGCCGGAAAAAGATCACAGTTTGTCACGTTTCTTATTCATTGGGTCCCCCCGAAACTTTTTCCGCACGAGTCTATTATCGAAATTTTTCGGAAATTGAACGCGTAACACCTTAAATGTAATTTAATACTTGTGTTGATTTATACTTTACCCAGGTGGAATTCAAAGGGCTCAGCGGGCCGATCGAGTTCAAGGAGGGACGGCGTATCCAGTTCAAATTGGACCTGCTCAAACTCAAACAGCACGCGCTAGTGAAAGTCGGCGAATGGAATCCGGCCGCCGGCGTGAACATTACAGATCGCGCCGCGTTCTTTGACCCGGGGACGATGAACGTCACCCTGGTGGTCATCACTATTCTCGTAAGCAAACAAAACTTCCCTAAACGTGAAGTTTGAAATTTATTTTTTGTTATTTTTCATTTAAACCTCTTATTTGCATGATATTTAACTTGAAATAAAGGAAACACCCTATGTAATGATGCACTGGGGTAAAAACTACACGGGTAACGGCCGCTTTTACGGCTTCTGCGTCGACATCCTCGAGAGCATCTCCAGGGAGGTGGGCTTTGACTATCTGTTGGACTTAGTACCCGACCGGAAGTACGGCGCTCAGGATCCGGATACCGGCGAGTGGAACGGAATGGTTGCTCAGTTGATGACGCATGTAATCATTACAACCCCCACTCCCCCACCCGAAAAATTAATTATTTTAGTTATTATTATTACATGTCAACTCGTAGGATTAATTAATTAGTTTGTGCACTACTTTGATTAGTGGTACTTGAAATCGACTTGTAATCGCTTGTAATCGCACTCCCCACGCCTGCTAGGAGCAACCGTACGTGATGATGAGAGGTCAGCCGAATCTGGCGGGCAATGCGCGCTACGAGGGGTTCTGCATCGACCTGCTGGAGGAGATCGCCGGAATGGTCGGCTTTGAGTACCGCATCGAGCTTGTACCAGACGGCAAGTACGGCGCAATTGATTTGGAGACCGGCGAGTGGAACGGTATCGTTAGACAACTCATGGATAAGGTAACAACAATAAATTCGAAGCAGAGAATCGGTGGTTTATCAAATTTAAGTTTATCACACGCGCGGGCAAAGTGCAGAAATAATAAAAATATTATATTAAGAACCAAGTGCGATAAATGGGACTTTAGTCACGGTCGTGACTAAAGTGTAACTTTTCGTGTTTCGAAATTGTGGAAAAAGTAGAAGTAGAAAAATGATATTAAAGTCAATGCAAGTCATATTTTTAGACCCACGTCATAATTTCACCATAAATATGACAGAAACTAATCAATTTCCACTAAAATGCATGAAATTCTAATTTTTTGCATCAAGAAGATGAGAAATATCATATTTCTCTTGAGAAATATCATATTTTTCTGCTTAATCTCCACTTTACCTAATTCCACATTGTCGCCATGTTGAAATTACCGCGCACTTGCCAGTCAGCGTTCGAGCATTCTGATTACACACGCTTGTTGTTAATCTCTCCGTGCTCGGCGTTGAGCGTCGCGCGCCGATTCCCTGCGGGACTCATTAACGGCTCGCACCTTTCAACAATCCACGCTCACCAACAAACAACCCCGAGATATTTGCAACATTCGCAACGCGCGCATTTAATTCAGGTGCATTCGTAAAGGTGGCATGAAAGAAAGAATATAATTACTTACTAGAGCCTACACGACCATTTCACAGGAAGCTAGGATTATTTAATGAGAAATCCCCGATTGTACGCACGTGTAAATTATGATGGCAATCGTGATTTAATTACGAATCGATTTAATTAAAATTAATTTCGCGCCATAATCGTTATAATCCTAAATTATGGATTTTAATATCCATCTGGTTAGCCACGAAAAGTTTTCCATTGAGGTTATGGACGCGCATTTAACCTGACGTGATAAAACTAGTCGTTTCACTTTACATACACCCCGCTCGAATTGAATGCTAGTCGGAATTGAATTATTACGTCATATTCTGGGCATTACTCGGGCATTTGAAAAAAGCACTAAAAACTAGACGTAACCTTCAAGTTTAGGAGAATTTATGACTATGCAACCACATAACCTCAAAGAGTGTAAAAAGTGCGCCAAGCCCGCATAAATCAAATTTATTTGAATGTCGAGCGCGCGTTATTAAAAGAAGAACCTCTCGTACTTTTTGGCAATAATATCGCATGCATTTATCCTGGCTAGCATAAAATATTCAGACATGACTCCTCTCTAGTGAGGTTAGTGAGGTTAGAAGTACTGCAGGTAGCCTAAAAACTATACTCTCTGTAAGTAGGCTAATGTGTTGGTTTTCTATGTCATCGGTGCACGATTAATCTTTCACCGTGTTTGTACTTTTTGTGTACTCGCAGAAAGCCGACCTGGCCGTCGGATCGATGACGATAAATTACGCGCGCGAGAGCGTAATCGACTTCACGAAACCCTTCATGAACCTGGGCATCAGCATCCTTTTTAAGGTAGGTCAATTAAATCCATAGAAAATATTGGAAATTGGATACTCTACGAGGTAGTGATTTCGCCAACAACTACTTATTTGATTAAAAAATAATCTGATTCTGTGTACATTCTCCATGTAATCAGCTTGGAAGCGCGTGAAGGTGATAAAAGCGAATTTATGCGTGCTTAATTCAATTTAGGTGCCGACCGATAAAGAATCGGCCGTCTTTGCCTTTCTGAATCCGCTCGGCGTCGACATCTGGATCTTCGCGAGCGGCGCGTTTTTCATGGCGTCTTTCACGCTCTTCGCGCTTGCCCGTTTCACACCCTACGAGTGGGTAAACCCTCGACCGTGGGAGCGTTCCCGGGCACTCGTCAATCAATTCACAGTGGCGAACAGTTTCTGGTTCGTCACCGGAACTCTACTGCGGCAGTGTTCCGGTGTTAATCCACAGGTTCAACTATATTTTATGCATCTTCAATGTTTGTGTACTCATAATTTTGTCTTTTACACTAGCAAACACGAAAAAATTCCATTACTAATCGGGACTTGTTATCAGAAGCCGAATAACCGTATCGAAGCTTCAATGCCCTGCATGATGTTTTGCAGGTCCCGACATCGCCGCAAACCAAGCTGTTCTCATTCATGAACCCGCTAGCGATGGACATTTGGATGTACGTGTTCTCGGCGTACGTGCTCGTGTCGATAACAATGTTCATCGTCGCCCGTTTCTCGCCGTACGAATGGCAGAACCCGCATCCGTGCGAGATCGAGAACGAAACGATCGAGAATCAGTTCTCGATGCCGAATTCGTTCTGGTTCACAATCGGCACACTCATGCAGCAGGGTTCCGATCTTAATCCAAAGGTAGTTCAAATTCAAACAAGAACTAAGCACTCATTCTCATCATTACAACCCACACACACACATAAAAATACGCCTCTAGTAAAATACCCACTACTTTAATATTTTATATGACTAACCTTTGAACTTGTTGTTTCTTGCATGGAGAATTCTTGTGCACCCGTTGAGTTGCGAGTTGGTTTTCTGTCTCTGTGTTTTCCGTGTCTTCCATGGTGTGTTTATTGCGAGTACATGAGATACACAACACGATAATCACATATACGGAGACACCAACCTCGATGGGTGCTTACTTCATGTTTCGCGAACCGCAACGCGTTATTAAAGTAATGGGATTTTTCACGCACTGGTAACACGCACACGACAATGACCACGCACGTACTGAACTAGCAAGTTGCAGTTTTGCACGTTCACGTTGACCATGATTTCTTATCTCTTCCGCTCGCGCGCTCGAGTGGCGTGATCGGGAGGTAAACAACCACACAAAAAAGCGGTTTTGTTTACCTCTCTCGCGCGTGAATTTAAATAATACAAAATGTATACACAGGCGACATCTACACGCATAGTCGGCGGGATTTGGTGGTTCTTCACCTTGATTATTATCTCGTCATACACAGCGAATCTAGCCGCATTTCTCACTGTGGAACGAATGATTACGCCGATTGAGAACGCAGAGGACTTGGCCGGGCAGACCGAGATCCCCTACGGTACTCTTGAAAGCGGTTCAACAATGACTTTCTTCCGGGTACGATTTACCTAACAAAATTATTTTATAAAAAAATTATTTAAATTTTAAAATTAAAGGATTCCATGATAGAAACCTACAAAAAAATGTGGCGATTCATGGAAAACCGGAAACCCTCAGTTTTTGTTCCCACATATGAGGAAGGCATCGCTAAGGTCCTGGATGGTAACTACGCTTTCCTGATGGAGTCAACCATGTTAGACTACATCGTCCAGCGTGATTGCAACCTCACGCAAATCGGTGGTTTACTAGATACGAAAGGATACGGTATCGCTACGCCAATGGGCAGTCCATGGCGCGATAAAATCTCGCTCGCTATCCTCGAACTGCAGGAAAAGGGCGAGATTCAAATGCTCTACGATAAATGGTGGAAGAATTCGGGGGATACGTGCACGCGAAATGAGAAAGGCAAAGAGTCCAAGGCGAATTCCCTGGGTGTAGACAACATTGGAGGCATCTTTGTTGTTTTATTGTGTGGACTGGCTTTCGCTGTCATCGTGGCCATCTTTGAATTTTGCTATAATAGTAAAAAGATTGCACTTACCGAAAAGGTAATCAAAACAAATAATTTTTAATAAATTTATAAAATTATTTTGATTTGAAGAGATCTTCTACAACACCACATCAATCTCTGTGCGCTGAAATGGGCGGCGAGTTGTGTTTTGCACTGCGATGTCGAGGATCACGTCAACGACCTGCTTTGAGGAGACAGTGTTCAAAATGTCTGCCGAGCGCAACATACGTAGGTGGCGCCACTCTTGAGATTCCACCACATCCACCACTGCCACCAGCGCGCATGCCACCTACGAATGGATTGGCAGCACATCCATGTCCCGATGAACAATTGGTAAGCAATATAAATTTAAATAATCAAATTACATTAAAATAAAAATATTTTATTAAGACTGGAACGCTGCCATTACCAATCGAATTCCATCATCACATCCATGAAGAACACCGTGGATCATACGACAATTATGACAGTTTGTCATAAATTTACATTACCTTACAAAGTAAGGGAGGATATCTTATAGGGCAGAATAAAAATTATTCGTATATGCTATATTAAAGTAAAAATAAATAGAAATTATTTTGATTGTTTCTAAATAAAAAAGAACAGTTGTTGTTATTAAACAATTAAATTAGGTGATTTGTAATCGTCGATTCATCCGTCCTTTTCCACGATTGCAAGTCATCTAAAAATTATCATCATCATGGCAACTGTTCGAGTGTTTCGAAACAATCAAACACACTTTAAATTAAGCGGTAATATAGCACCTTTGATAGGAAAAAACATAGCGTAATGATAAAAATGTACATTGTTGTCACATGTAATCAGACAAAAAGGTAATTGTGATAAATGTTTTAAAATTACACGGATTAAGTCATAAATTATTCGTATGTTACGTGGTTATAACACAGAAGTAACTGAATAAAACGAGTACTAAATGTTGCGAGACGACTTTGTGTTAACCTTGATATTAACATGCAGTTTTGTTTTGGTTGCGTGTCAATAAAAACAAGTTTTAAGAATATAATATGAAGCAGTTGAAGTGATACATTCGAAAGTGTTGGACCAGAGTAGAACTACAGAACTAAAGTAATAAAATGTTTGTGTTGGTGTTATTTACAATTATTGTGGCATTATTTGTGGTGAAGAAGTTCCTCAACGATCAGAAATATGCTGATTTTTATAAGATTAAAGGCCCGAAGACTTTACCATTAATTGGAAATGCACATTTGTTTGGATTTTCGCCGTCACCAAAAGGTAAATATTTAAAAAATAATTTAATTTAATTTTAAAATTAAAATATTAATAAATAAATGTTGATGTAGATGTTTTTGAGCTACAATTGAAATTGGCAAAAGAACACGGTGAGTTTTTCCGTTTGGTTATGGGCCCTGAGAAGGTTTTGGTTATTTCAAGGCCAGAACATATCGAAGTGATTTTAAGCTCAACGCGACACATTAAAAAGTCGGAGAATTATAACTTGTTGATTAAATGGTTAGGCAATGGCCTAATTAATAGCAGCGGTAAGTAAATTTATTTTAAAGTAAATAATTTAATAAACAAGTTATTTAATTTATGCATAAAGGTAACTACTGGAGAAAACATCGCAAAATCATCACGCCAACATTCCACTTCAAGTGTCTCCAAGATTACTCAGAATTCATGGCCAAAAATTTAAACATTCTCATCGAAATTCTCAAAACAAAACAGTCGAAAGTTATTAATATTGATCATTTTATCAAACTATATGCTCTGGATTCTATTTGTGGTGAGTATTTTCTCTAAAAATGTAAGTTTTATGTTTTTTTTTTCTAATTTATTTTTGATTTTTTGGGTTTAGATAGCGCGATGCGTCACAGTATCAACGCGCAAGCAAACGAAGAGCATTCGTACGTGCGCGCCCTCAAGGGCTACTTGGATATCCACATGACGCGCTTCTTTTCCGTCCTACTGCGCGCGCCCATCGTGTTCAACAATAGCGCGCTGGGGCGGCGGCAGGACGAGCACATCGACTGCATGAAATCGTTCACGAACCAAGTTATCAATTCGCGGAAAGCCGAACGTGCGACGCATTCCAAAACCTCTACCACGAATACTTCAAACAGCGACGAGTTTGAGGAACGCCCCAAGAGGTCGTTCCTTGACTTGCTGCTGGACAAGCAAGATGAAGAGCATGTGCTATCTGATGCCGAGATACGCGAAGAAGTTTCTACATTTATGTTTGCAGTAAGTACTACGGTTACAAATGTGGCTAAAGTACTTTAGTCACGGCCGTGGTTAAAGTGTCACTTTACGTGTTTTAAACCCGTGAAAAAAGTGACGCTTTAAAAGTGGAACTAAAAAATATTATTATTAAACGAATAAAAATTACTTTTTTAATTCCTAGGGTCATGATACTGTCTCCTCGACCATTGGTTTCTGCCTCTATGAATTAGCAAAACATCCCGACGTACAAGCCGCGTTGGTAGAAGAATCCTACACGGTAATGCCCAGAGGAAAACAAGTCGAAGTGAACTGCGCCAATATCACAGCATTAAAATATCTGGACCGTGTGGTTAAAGAGTGTATGCGAATCTATACGACCGTACCGCTTATCGAGCGCCAAATCGAAGAGGACGTTGAGCTGGAAGGATTGCGCATCCCTGCAGGCACTACCATACAGGTGATGATGTATACGATGCACAACAACGCCAAGTACTACCCGGACCCGGAAAAGTTCGACCCGGAGCGCTTCAGTACCGAAAACAGTCGCAATCGACACGCGTATGCTTATATTCCGTTCAGTGCCGGACCAAGGAACTGCATAGGTAATTTTTACCCATTAAAAATATTAAATATTAAATAAAATTGTTTTTAGGTTATAAATATGGGCAATTGATGACCCGGGCCAGTGTGATTAATATTCTACGCAACTTTAAAGTGAGTCTACCGGAAGGCGAGCAATATAAACCAGTACTTTACAACGACGCCATTTTGCAATCCAAGAATGGCATTAATCTTATCTTGGAAGTACGTGAATAATGTCCAATGACTTTATATTTGTTACTATTTCCCGTGAATTTTCAAGTTTAAATTTTTTTTAAAGAAAATAAAACTTACAACTCTTCTTCTTGTTCGTCCTCCTCACCGTACGATTCTTCCTCATTGACTAATTCATCAACCTCATCTTCGGACTTCATAACCTCACTCTCCAATGCCTCATACTTCTCTTCTTCTTCCATGTCCATTTCATCACCCTCACCTTCCTCCCTGCCTTCTTCCTCATACACCGTTTCTGTGGTGCTTGACGTGTCGTCTGGTTCGTCCGGCGTCGAGCACGGAATAAGCTGCTTTAACGTTGATTCACGATACGGTACCGCTACCAAGTCGTCCAAGATGGCGCGGATGTCTTCGATGACAGTCTGGCGTTCGGTCTCCTGTGTTTTTTTGATCTGCTCCTCCTCTGCACACATAGATTTACATTCAAATACACCAATTTCGCATTCGCATGCAAATTAAGCAATTTATATGCGAGGCGGCGTGTTAGAAATGTAGCATATAAGTGACTTGTTTATAACTTGCGAAACAAACGACTTTGGAGTGAGTAGTTGAAACAGGAAACGGAAAAACTTACCGATCACTTTTTGTTGGGATGTTGAGGCGGTCTCGAAAGATTCAATAGAAAGTTCTACATTAAAAAAAAAATTAAACAAAATCGATAATAGCATATTAAGTATCAAGTGCGCTAAACGTCACTTTAACCACGATTAGCGACGTGATTCATACGGTATTTTTCTACTTCCTCTCTATTTCTACGTTAAATACTTTAGTCACGGCTTCGGCCGTCCGTGATTAAAGTGCAACTTTTTGTGTCTCGAAACCGTGGAAAAAGTGGCGCTTTAAAGGTGGAAGTAAAAAAAATATTAATAAACTTACCTTGTTCTTCCGGTTTAGGCAGAGTATCCATAAATTTATAAATTTCCTCATGCGCATTAAGCAGATCTAATTTCTGTTGTTGTTTCATGCGATCTCGGATGATAGTCTTCTCCACTTCCGGAATAACAAAGTTATGAACCATACTTGCGATGTAATCTTCCCTTTCAGAATCTTTTGTACTGCGAATAAAAACAAAATAAAAACATATAACACCCGCAGATTTTTTTGGGAAAAATAACATACTTCTGTTCCATTTCGGCCTGTTCCTGATCAGCTTTCATCAACATCGTTTGCACATATTCATTGGCTTTCTCCTCGGACGCAAATTGCATGCCTTCGGTGATGATATCCTGCAGGTAGAGATCCACCGTATCCTGATGCACCTTAACCACCTGTTTGAACATCTCGTCGTGTTCCTTTCGCCGGCGAATCTCTTTCTGTCTCCGTCCGGCCTCCTCCGCTTCCCTGATCTGTCGCAATCTGTCTACTAAGAGAATCAGCGCGTGTGCCCTTCTTTCGCGACGCAAGCGCTGTAAATCTTTGTTGAGGAAGTCCAAAAGTGTACCGGTCACGGAACCGCTTAATTTCCGCAGGGAACCTTCCAATGCTTTCATCTATATACATTTAAAACAACTTAATTAATAAATATAAAGAAGAATTTTCACCTTTTATACATTTGACATGCATCTGTTTGCATTAAGTTGGTCTTCTCTGCGTTTTTCACGTATACGAGCTTTCTTACAAACATCTCCTTTGAGCAGAGCATAATTACCACGCAGTTCATCGATTAATTCATGACAACGTTCACGACCAATAAATATCTGCAAGAAATAAGTAAATATTTAATATTTACTCATGCAATATTCTTGTTTTTTGTTTTACTCTGTTTTGTGCAGCACGACCGCGTAGTATTTTCTGTAGGAAAGTTGCAGCAGTATTAAGTGCTGGATTTTTATCGGTAGCATCCGAAATTTCCGGTGTGGGTATAGCACTAAGTGGTATTTGGATACAAACACGTAGAACATGTGCTATCTGACGCCGAGATACGCGAAGAAGTTTCTACATTTATGTTTGCAGTAAGTGCAACGGTTACAAATGTGGCTAAAGTACTTTAGTCACGGCCGTGGTTAAAGTGTCACTTTTCGTGTTTTAAATCCGTGCAAAAAGTGACGCTTTAAAAATGGTAATATTATTATTAAACACATAAAAAATACTTTTTTTTAATTCTTAGGGTCACGATACAGTCTCTTCAACCATCGGTTTCTGCCTTTATGAATTAGCAAAACATCCCGACGTGCAAGCCGCGTTGGTAGAAGAATCCTACACGGTAATGCCCAAAGGAAAACAAGTTGAAGTGAACTGCGCCAATATCACCGCGTTAAAATATCTGGACCGTGTGGTTAAAGAGTGTATGCGAATCTATATGACCGTACCGCTTATCGAGCGCCAGATCGAAGAGGACGTTGAGCTGGAAGGATTGCGCATCCCTGCAGGCACTACCATACAGGTGATGATGTATACGATGCACAACAACGCCAAGTACTACCCGGACCCGGAAAAGTTCGACCCGGAGCGATTTAGTACGGAAAACAGTCGAAATCGACACGCGTATGCTTATATTCCGTTCAGTGCCGGACCAAGAAACTGCATAGGTAATTATTAACCATTGAACTGATTAAATACTTTAAAAAATATTTTTAGGTTACAAATATGGGCAATTGATGACCCGGGCCAGTGTGATTAATATTCTACGCAACTTTAAAGTAAGTCTACCGGAAGGCGAGCAATATAAACCAGTACTTTACAACGACGCCATTTTGCAATCCAAGAATGGCATTAATCTTATCTTGGAAGTACGTGAATAATGTCTCATGACTTTATATTTGTTACTGATTCCCGTGAATTTTCAAGATTTAATTTTTTTTAAAGAAAATAAAACTTACAACTCTTCTTCTTGTTCGTCCTCCTCACCGTACGATTCTTCCTCATTGACTAATTCATCAACCTCATCTTCGGACTTTATAACCTCACTCTCCAATGCCTCATACTTCTCCTCCTCTTCGATGTCCATTTCATCACCCTCACCTTCCTCTCTGCCTTCTTCCTCATACACAGTTTCTGTGGTGCTTGACGTGTCGTCTGGTTCGTCCGGCGTCGAGCACGGAATAAGTTGCTTTAATGTTGATTCACGATACGGTACCGCTACCAAGTCGTCCAAGATGGCGCGGATGTCTTCGATGACAGTCTGGCGTTCGGTCTCCTGTGTTTTTTTGATCTGCTCCTCCTCTGCACACATAGATTTACATTCAAATACACCAATTTCGCAATCGCATGCAAATTAAGCAATTTATATGCGAGGCGGCGTGTTAGAAATGTAGCATATAAGTGACTTGTTTATAACTTGCGAAACAAATGACTGTGGAGCAAGTAGTTAAAACAGAAAAAGGAAAACTTACCGATTACTTTTTGTTGGGATGTTGAGGCGGTCTCGAAAGATTCAATAGAAAGTTCTACATTTAAAAAGAATACAAAAATTAAACAAAATCAATATTTTAATAGTATGTTAAGTATCAAATGCGCTAAACGTCACTTAAACCACGATTAGCGACGTGATGCATACGGTCTTTTTCTACTTCCTCTCTATTTCTACGTTAAATACTTTAGTCACGGCTTCGGCCGTCCGTGATTAAAGTGCCACTTTTTGTGTCTCGAAACCGTGGAAAAAGTGGCGCTTTAAAGATGGAAGTAAAAACATAATTTAAAAACTTACCTTGTTCTTCCGGTTTGGGCAGAGTATCCAAAAATTTATAAATCTCCTCATGCGCATTAAGCAGATCTAATTTCTGTTGTTGTTTCATACGGTCCCGGATGATAGTCTTCTCCACCTCCGGAATAACAAAGTTATGAACCATACTTGCGATGTAATCTTCCCTTTCCGATTCTTTTGTACTGCGAATAAAACAGAATAAAAACATAAAACTCCCGCAGAATTTTTGTTGTAAATAACAAACTTCTGTTCCATTTCGGCCTGTTCCTGATCAGCTTTCAACAACATCGTTTGCACATATTCATTGGCTTTCTCCTCGGACGCAAATTGCATGCCTTCGGTGATGATATCCTGCAGGTAAAGATCCACCGTGTCCTGATGCACCTTAACCACCTGTTTGAACATCTCGTCGTGCTCCTTTCGCCGGCGAATCTCTTTCTGTCTCCGTCCGGCCTCCTCCGCTTCCCTGATCTGTCGCAATCTGTCTACTAAGAGAATCAACGCGTGTGCCCTTCTTTCTCGACGCAAGCGCTGTAAATCTTTGTTGAGGAAGTCCAAAAGTGTACCGGTCACGGAACCGCTTAATTTCCGCAGGGAACCTTCCAATGCTTTCATCTATATACATTTAAAACATCATAATTAATAAGAAAATTAAGAAAATTTTGATCCTTGATACATTTGACATGCATCTGTTTGCATTAAGTTGATCCTCTCGGCGTTTTTCACGTATACGCGCCTTCTTACACACATCTCCTTTGAGCAGAGCATAATTACCACGCAGTTCATCGATTAATTCATGACAACGTTCACGACCAATAAATATCTGCAAGAAATAAGTAAATATTTATTATTTACTCATGCAATAAATCGGTTTTTGTTTTACTCTGTTTTGTGCAGCACGACCGCGTAGAATTTTCTGTAGGAAAGTTGCAGCAGTATTAAGTGCTGGATTTTTATCGGTAGCATCCGAAATTTCCGGTGTGGGTATAGCACTAAGTGGTATTTGGATACAAACACGTAGATTAGGATGTTGCTGCCTCTCAACGCGCAATTCTAACCCATAAAACAATAAAATCATACAGTATAATAAGTATCTAGTGCGCTAAAGTACTTTAGTCACGCATTTGGCCATCCGTGATTAAAGTGCCACTTTTAGTGTCTCGAAACCGTGGACAAAATGGCGCTTTAAGTGGAAGTAGAAAATTAATATAAAACACGCTTTACCTTTAAGCTCTTCGTACAAATTCTTGAGTACAGGCAGCGTCCACTTTGTTTCTTTTATACAAAGACGTGTACCACCTAGTTTTATTTCGCCAAGCTCTGCCATCGACGATAAATGATTCGGTATGGAATTATAATTCTCTACATTGCAATACTGTGGTTTGTATAATTTAGTAAATTTGCAGAGTTCCTCATGTTTGTATCTTGGATTCGTCCCGTTTCTCATCAATGGGCAATACAACTCAGAATTATAATTCGCATGCTCGTCGAAAATATCCACTTTTCCGTAGCGGGTTAAAACGCCAGCGAATTGTAACCGTAATCGTCGTTTTTCACGCTCGGCGTATTTTTGAACCTTGGCGATCTTTTCCTGTTTCTCTGCAATTTTCATATCGACAAACATGCGCATCTTTTGTTCATTGCGACATTTACTTTTTTCGTGAATTTCATTAAGCATTTTTTCTAAGAGTTCTAAACGTAATGCTTGGATTAATTCAATGTCGCGTTCGCGGTTCGCCCATTCGATACGATTCAATTCGACAATCATATCGCGTTTCTGTTTGAAATCTCGGGCGGTGTTACCTTCCGGGAAAGTTGATTCCCATTTGTGTTTATTGCGCATTCTATCAATGAATTCTATTTCTGCTGTTCCAGGGGGCAGGCCTTCACCTTTTTTTTATAATTTATGATATTAACATTTGCTTTATATTGTTTATATATGATTATTCTTACCCCATTTTAAAAAATCTAATTTTAATAACTCCGGATTACCCTGAACGACAGTGTAATCCGGCTGCCATGGAGAAGTCTGCGCCGAGGTTTCTCTATAAATCGTTTGTACTTTGACATTTTTCCCTTGCGTCTTCCGCATTAACCTCTTTTGGTCTTCATATTTCCGTATACGATCAATATCATAGAAACAATTCAGATCCAACTGCGGTACTGTTTCTTTTGTGACTTGTGTTATAGAAATCGGGCTACTACAAGTTATATTTTTGTTTTTAATGATAATTCTTTAGAATTTTTAATATTAATTTACTTATGGAAATATTTATAGCGGTCCGAGCCGGCGACGAATGCGCGCGACATTTTCTCAGCGCTTTTCGGGACCTTTTCCACATAAGCTGGAATTGGTGCTGCGCGTCTGATAACATATTGTTTGCACGGGTAGTTTTGAAGGTCTGAGAACATCGATGGGAAAATCGGACAAATTGCCTAACAAGTTTATTTTAAGTTTTTTTTTTCAGTTTTAAGAGAAAAAGTTTAAAGTACTTACATAAGACATCATTGCTTGCTTAGAACTCTTTGCTTGTTTGTAGAAGTCCTTCGGACCCGAGGATATATTCGACGAGTCTGCAAATAATGATTTTTAAAAATAATAATTTTATTATTTCAATAAACGATTATTTTCGAACCATAGAAATAATCGTTTGGGCGATTTCGAGTCAGTGAGGCAGCCATCGTCATGAGTGTTCGTTAAATAAAAACTTTGTAAAATGTAAAATTACTGTGACAATGCGTTGATAGATTTGATTAGAGACCGACTGAAGCAAGTAATTCGGAGACAGTTTAGTTTTCACTGCGACAGTTTGTTTGATCGATATTGGGAAAGTCTATTCTGGCGCCCTCTCAGAATTTAAATATGAGATGATGCATATTAAATTAAATACATATAAATCCTTTAAAATTATTATATAGTTAGAAACACTGCTAAATAAACAATTAAAACTATTAATTATCAAGATGGCTTAAGAATTACAGTATTATTATTAATTTTGAATTAGTTATTACTTATTTTTAAATGTGTTTGAATTTATGAATTAGTTAATATGCACTCATAAATAAATAAGTCATGTTTTATATTATTCGACATACCTTCAAATTCAACATTTCACACGGAATGTTGTTTGTTTTCGTCTTTATCTCTTCATTTTTGGTGTGCATCGCGTGATTTTGCACAGCACGCGCCTCTACAATAGATATGATGTGCACTCACTGACACACAAACTATATTCACACAAACACTCGCTTCAAATTTAATGTTGATAAGTACATGCTAGCGTCATCTCACGATTTAAAACATGTATTGGAACAAGCAACAGATGAGTTCAAGCGAAAGCAAATTAATTTTTTTAATGCACTCTCACCCGGAAATTACTGATGCATAGATACTTGTCACTTTAATTTATGAACAAAAATTATTTAAAATAATTAATAAATAGGCAATATGCTTTCAATAAATGTAGAATTATTATTAAATTAGATGTTAACACGATTTTAGCATTTAATTGCTAGTTTTACTTTTAAACTGGTTAATATTAAAATTTATAATATTGTGTTGCTTGATATTATTCGAAATACCTGCAGAATCTAAACACTGCAGACTGAAAGTGGTTTGTTTTCGTGTTTATCTTTAGACTTTTTTGTGAGCGCATCGCGTGATTCTGCACAGCACGCGCGATGTGCACTCACTGATACATACACAAAATGTTCACACAGACGCTCGCCTCGAATTTAATGCAAATACTGCATCCTAGCGCCATCTCGCGATTTAAAACACGTATTGATGCACCCAGAACATAAGTTCACACGGCAACAAAATCAACAAAAAAACTGATTCACTGACGACTAATATAAATTGCTCACAGAGATTCTTCATTTCATTTAAGAAATATATGAACTTTAAAATAAGTACTTAAATATTGCATACTTTATCAATAAATATACTAAACAGTAGTGTAGATATATATTAAAATGATTTATGCATTAAAATTCTAATTTTAATGTAAGAACAAGTCTATACTTGTCTATACACGATTAATAAACCTGTTGTGAACAATAATATTCGAAATACCGGCAGAATAACATTCCGAACAGAATGTTGTTTGTTTTCTTTTTTATCTCTTCACTTTTTTTGTGCGCGCATCGCGTGATTTCATACCTGATGCATCTTTACTGGCAAACTCATACAAACTATCTTCGCTGGTTTCAATATAATGCAAATAAATGCATTGTAATGCCTTTTTAAAATTAATTATTATAAATTAGCAATTTTTAAAAGCATAAATATTCATTAAAATACTTCGGCAATAAAGAAGTCCCACTATGAATATTAATTTAACATTAAATTACTTCACTTTACTTTATAAACCCGTTAATACTATTTAATTTGATATATTATGTTTGATATTATCAATAAAACGTAAGAAAACGTAACTGTTAAAACTACATGTTGTTTGTTTTCGTTTTTATCTCATCTGTTTTTTGTATGTACATCGCGTGATGTTTCACACACACACGAGTGTGAACTGACATTTATATCCAAACCGACATCGCTGCGCCCTCTAGTGCTTATGTAAACAACTATATGTATTATGTACTACTACAGAGGTAAACATAAACATAACCATAGTAAAACATAGCAACGGTGTGAGTCCTAATCGTAAAACTAAAAACTTTTAAAATGTACACCGAAAAAATAGACGAACTGCAAAAATACTTCAAAGCGCACAATGAATTCAAAGTCTACACCGGACACTCATCAAAAGTGCATTCAGTCGGCTGGAGTTGTGATGGCAAGCGTTTAGCGTCCGGTTCTTTTGACAAATCAGTCTGCATTCATACTTTACACCGCGATAACATCGTAAGTAACACAAAACTCCACACAAAGTTAATAAAATTACCATCTCAATTTAATTTACTTTTAATTTAGGTAAAAGAAACCGTATTTAAAGGTCACGGAGGCTCAGTAGATCAATTATGCTGGCATCAAACAAATCCAAATTTACTAAGCACTGCCAGCGGCGATAAAACCGTCCGCATTTGGGACACCAGGCAATCAAAATGTGTTGCAGTTATTCCAACAAAAGGAGAAAATATCAATATAACATGGGCACCTAATGGAGAAACAATTGCAGTTGGCAACAAAGAAGATCTAGTGACATTCATTGATACAAAAACCAACAAGATAAAGACTGAAGAGCAGTACAACTTTGAAGTTAATGAAATTTCATGGAACAATACCAGTGATCTCTTCTTTTTGACCAATGGACAAGGATGCATCCACATTTTAAGGTAAAATTCATCACCTTATCACCATAAAATAAAAAAAACAACAAAAAATGTTATTTTTTTGCAGTTATCCTGACTTAGAACTCCAACACATCTTGAACGCACATCCCGGCACATGCATCTGCATAGAATTCGACCCGACCGGTAAATATTTCGCTACAGGCAGCGCCGACGCATTAGTTTCTCTCTGGGACATCAACGAATTGGCGTGTAAAAAAGTATTCACACGCATGGATTGGCCCGTACGCACGATATCCTTCAGCCACGACGGTCTACTCCTAGCATCAGCCTCAGAAGATTTACTAATAGACATTGGTTTCGTCGAAACCGGCGACAAAATCGCCCATATTGCAGTTGACGCAGCTACATTCACAGTCGCATGGCATCCATCGCAATATTTACTCGCGTATGCATGCGATGATAAAGATAGTTATGATCGTAAACGCGACGCAGGGACTTTAAAGGTGGGGGGATGGTCGAGCGACAATTAAATGTGTTCAGTATATAAAAAAATTAAATTAAAAACGTACACAGACGAATATTATTACCTAATCAACTTCCATATTGGTTTCGGGTTCCTGTGAAGGTGGAATTATGTCAGATATTTCAGATGTGCGTGTTTGTTGTGATGCGAATATGTCTTCTTGCGATGCTGGTAATCCATTTTCCTCAGCAGGTACACTTTTTCTTCCGTTTTGGTCTTGTGTATTTTGTGTAACCATTAAAGTGCCGTTTGTTGTCGTCAGTACACTGCCAATGCTAGAAAGTGATTCCATTTCGGTAGGCTCAAGAGACAAATCAACTTCTGCGTCCTTCTGTTGTCCTCTGACTTGTTCCACCTGTTTCTCACCGTCAAACTTCCTCGGATCAATCGTGACAGTCATCGTAGTGTTATCCGGCTTGTAAATCCCGATCAAATGACAACTCAACTCAAACATTTCGTTTCTCAGTGAGATAATAATAAACTGCGCGTTTTTCGTGCGTTCTTTGATGTAGTTAGCTATGATTGAAACGTTTTTAAAATCTAACGCCGCGTCAATTTCGTCCAGGACATATAGAGGTGAGGGTTTGTAATAATGCAGAGCAAATACTAACGCTAAACTGGATAGGGTTTTCTCACCGCCGCTGAGATTCGAAATGTGTTTCCACGTCTTCTTCCGCATTAACCTCTTTTGGTCTTCATATTTCCGTATACGATCAATATCATAGAAACAATTCAGATCCAACTGCGGTACTGTTTCTTTTGTTACTTGTGTTATAGAAATCGGGCTACTGCAAATTATATTTTTGTTTTTAATGATAATTCTTTAGAATTTTTAATATTAATTTACTTATGGAAATATTTATAGCGATCCGAGCCTGCGACGAATGCACGCGACATTTTCTCAGCGCTTTTGGGGACCTTTTCCACATAAGCTGGAATTGGCGCGGCGCGTCTGATAACATATTGTTTACACGGGTAGTTTTGAAGGTCTGAGAACATCGATGGGAAGATTGGACAGATTGCCTAACAAGTTTATTTTAAGTTTTTTCTTTTTAGTTTATTTTAAGAAAGAGAAAGTTTAAAGTACTTACATAAGACATCATTGCTTGCTTTGAACTCTTTGCTTGTTTGTAGAAGTCCTTCGGACCCGAGGATATATTCGACGAGTCTGCAAATATTGATTTTTAAAAATAATAATTTTATTATTGCAATAAATGATTATTTTCGAACCATAGAAATAATCGTTTGGGCGATTTCGAGTCAGTGAGGCAGCCATCGTCATGAGTGTTTGTTAAATAAAAACTTTGTAAAATGTAAAATTACTGTGACACTGCGTTGATAGATTTGATTAGAGACCGACTGAAGCAAGTTATTCGGAGACAGTTTAGTTTTCACTGCGACAGTTTGTTTGATCGATATTGGAAGACTCTATTCTGGCGCCCTCTCAGAATTTAAATATGAGATGATGCATATTAAATTAAATAAATATAAATCCTTTAAAATTATTATAAAGTAAGAAACACTGCTAAATAAACAACTAAAACTTTTAAATGTCAAGATGGCTTAAGAATTACAGAATCATAATTAATTTATGACTTAGTTATTACTTATTTTTAAATGTGTTTGAATTTATGAATTAGTTAATATGCACTCATAAATAAATAAGTCATGTTTTATATTATTCGACATACCTTCCAATTTAACATTTCACATGGAATGTTGTTTGTTTTCGTCTTCATCTCTTCACTTTTGGTGTGCATCGCGTTACTTTGCACAGCACGCGCCTCGACAATAGACTGTGCACTCACTGACACACAAACAATATTCACACAGACGCTCGCTTCAAATTTAATGCAGATAAGTGCATGCTAGCGTCATCTCACGATTTAAAACATGTATTTGAACAAGCAACAGATGAGTTCACGCGGAAGCAAATTAATTTTTTTAATGCACTCTCACCCAGAAATTACTGATGCATAGATACTTCTTTAATTTATAAACAAAAATTATTTAAAATAATTAAAAAATAAGCAATATACTTCCAGTAAAAATGGAAATTATTAAATTAGATGTTAACACGATTTTAGCATTTGATTGCTAATTTTACTTTTAAATTAGTTAATATTTAAATTTATTATATTGTGTTGCTTGATATTATTCGAAATACCTGCAGAATCTAAACACTTCACGCTGAATGTTGTTTATTTTCGTGTTTATCTTTTCATTTTTTTGTGCGCGCATCGCCTGATTCTGCACAACGCGCGCGATGTGCACTCACTGATACATTCACACTATGTTCACACAGAGACGCTCGCCTCGAATTTAATGCAAATACTGCATCTTAGCGCCATCTCGCGATTTAAAACACGTATCGATGCACGCAGAACATGAGTTCCCACAGCAACGATCAACAAATAAAAAACTAATACACTGAGGACGAATATAAATTGCTCACACAGATTCCTCAGTTCATTTAAGAAATATAAGTACTTAAAAATAAGTACCTAAACACTGCATATTTTAGAAATAATTATACTAAACAGTAATGTGCATATTAAAATGATTTTTGAATTATTATTCTAATTTTAATTTAGGAACAAGTCTATGCTTGTCTATACACGATTAAACCTGTTGTGAACAATAATATTCGAAATACCGGCAGAATAACATTCCGAACTGAATGTTGTTTGTTTTCTTTTTTATCTCTTCACTTTTTTGTACGCGCATCGCGTGATTTCATACCTAATGCATCTTTACTGACAAACTCGTACAAACTATCTTTGCTGGTTTCAAATTTAATACAAATAAATGCATTGTAATGACTTTTTAAATTAATTATTATAAATTTGCGATGTTTAAAAGCATAAATATTCATTAAAATACTTCGGCAATAAAGAAGTCTCACTATTAATATGAATTTAACATTAAATTACTTCACTTTTCTTTATTCACACGTTAATACTATTTAATTTGATATATTATATTTGATATCATCAATAAAACGTAAGAAAACGTAACAGTTAAAACTACATGTTGTTTGTTTTCGTTTTTATCTCAACCGTTTTTTGTATGTACATCGCGTGATGTTTCACACACACACGAGTGTGAACTGACATTTATATCCAAACCGACATCGCTGCGCCCTCTAGTGCGTATGTAAACAACTATATGTATTATGTACTACTACAGACATAAACATAAACATAACCATAGTAAAACATAGCAACGGTGTGAGTCCTAATCGTAAAACTTTAAAACTTTTAAAATGTACACCGAAAAAATAGACGAACTGCAAAAATACTTCAAAGCGCACAACGAATTCAAAGTCTACACCGGACACTCATCAAAAGTGCATTCAGTCGGTTGGAGTTGTGATGGCAAACGCTTAGCGTCCGGCCTCCTTTGACAAATCAGTCTGCATTCATACTTTACACCGCGATAACATCGTAAGTAACACAAAACTCCACACAAAGTTAATAAAATTACCATCTCAATTTAATTTACTTTTAATTTAGGTAAAAGAAACCGTATTTAAAGGTCACGGAGGCTCAGTAGATCAATTATGCTGGCATCAAACAAATCCAAATTTACTAAGCACTGCCAGCGGCGATAAAACCGTCCGCATTTGGGACACCAGGCAATCAAAATGTGTTGCAGTCATTCCAACAAAGGGAGAAAATATCAATATAACATGGGCACCTAATGGAGAAACAATTGCAGTAGGCAACAAAGAAGATTTAGTGACATTCATTGATACAAAAACTAACAAGATAAAGACTGAGGAGCAGTACAACTTTGAAGTTAATGAAATTTCATGGAACAATACCAGTGATCTCTTCTTTTTGACCAATGGACAAGGATGCATCCACATTTTAAGGTGAATTTTGACACATTAATCTCAATCCTACCAACTCATATCAGAGTAAATAGAAAATAACAAAAAAATCGTTATTTTTGCAGTTATCCTGACTTAGAACTGCAACACATCTTGAACGCACACCCCGGCACATGTATCTGCATAGAATTCGACCCGACCGGTAAATATTTCGCTACTGGCAGCGCCGACGCATTAGTATCCCTCTGGGACATCAACGAATTGGCGTGTAAAAAAGTATTCACACGCATGGACTGGCCCGTACGCACGATATCCTTCAGCCACGACGGTCTCCTCCTAGCATCAGCCTCCGAAGATTTACTAATAGACATTGGTTTCGTCGAAACCGGCGACAAAATCGCGCACATCGCAGTCGACGCAGCTACATTCACAGTCGCATGGCATCCATCGCAATATTTACTCGCGTATGCATGCGATGATAAAGACAGTTATGATCGTAAACGCGACGCAGGGACTTTGAAGGTGTGGGGATGGTCGAGCGACAATTAAATGTGTTCAGTATATAAAAAATTAAATTAAAAACGTTCACAGACGAATATTATTACCTAATCAACCTCCATATTGGTTTCGGGTTCCTGTTCCTGTGAAGGTGGAATTATGTCAGATATTTCAGATGTGCGTGATTGTTGTGATGCGAAGATGTCTTCTTGTGATGGTGGTAATCCATTTTCCTCCGCAGGTACACTTTTTCTTCCGTTTTGGTCTTGTGTATTTTGTGTAACCATTACAGTGCCGTTTGTTGTCGCCAAAACACTACCAATTGTAGAAAGTGATTCCATCTCAGTAGGTTCAAGAGACAAATCAACTTCTGCGTCCTTCTGTTGTCCTCTGACTTGTTCCACCTGTTTCTCACCGTCAAACTTCCTCGGATCAATCGTGACAGTCATCGTGGTGTTATCCGGCTTGTAAATCCCGATCAAATGACAACTCAACTCAAACATCTCGTTTCTCAGCGAGATGATGATAAACTGCGCGTTTTTCGTACGTTCTTTTATGTAGTTAGCTATGATTGAAACGTTTTTGAAATCTAACGCCGCGTCAATCTCGTCAAGGACGTATAGAGGTGAGGGTTTGTAATAATGCAAAGCGAATACTAACGCTAAACTGGATAGGGTTTTCTCACCGCCGCTGAGATTCGAAATGTGTTTCCACGTCTTCTTCGGTGGACGCACACGAAGTAGGACGCCTTCACTGAATGGATCATAGGTGTCGACAAGTTCGAAATCTGCATCACCGCCGATTGTTATCATCTGGTACATTTCTTTGAGTTTACCTTTGATGATGCGATAACCAACGAGGAATTCGTCTTTGCGACGCGCGCGTAGATTGTCATAGCATTCACGCACCGCCTGCCATTTTAGGAGAACTTCATCGAGTTCTCTGGAGCGTTCGGCGGCCAAGGCGGCTTTTTTACGATATTCTTCTATAGCAGCAAGATTAGGTTTGGTGTTACGGAGTTGGATTTCGCATAAACCGATTTGTTTGAGGACTTTTTCAATCTCAGTCTTTTCGAGTTCTTCATCAGTGTATTTTTTGAATGGTTCTGTTATTTCTGTTGGGATTTCTTGAAGTTTTAAACTTGATAACTGTAAAAACATAAACGATTATTATAAAATCTGTTTAAAAAAGCGATGCAAGCGCCCCCTATGTTCAACAAAAGTTATACTTAAATAAAACAAAAATATTCAACTTACTTTTGCTTGAAACCCGCGTATTTTCTGCTCTACCTCATACAAAGCTTCCTTTAGCGTCTTCATCTTTTGATCCAGTTCGATTTTCTCAGATTTAAACCCTGTTTCGCATCTTTCCAGCTCTTTTACGTCATTTTTCAAGTCGTTGTACTCTCCGGTGCCTTCCAAAATGTCCGCCGACAAATCCTCTATCAATTTAACAAACTTGGCAGCATCAGCTTCAATCTCATCGCGTTTAGCTTTCATCTGCAGCAATTGATTCTCCGCTGATTTGATACTTTCTTGCAGTGACTCAACTAACTTCTCTGATTTTACCGCATTTTTTTCAGTTGTATTTATATTGACTTTCAGACGAGTTATTTCTGTTTTTAGCTTATCAATATTCTTATTACATTCTTTTAATTTCCCATCTAAAACTTTTACTTTCCCCTGCGATTTATCCTTAATCTCCTGTGTTAATGTATCAACTTTTTCTTGTACAACCTGCGCTTTCTCCGCAGCTTCATCATAAGCGCACTTTTTTTCCTCAACTTCTTTCTCCATCTTGTGGACTTTGTCTAAATTAATCGAAACACGTTTTACTTTGTTTTTCTGCTCCTTAATTTGGGCAACTACAGTAGGTTCACGTTTCTGAAGTCCTCTCAACTCAATACTCATCTTTTCATTCGCAATTTTCATTTGATGAAGTTCTGGCTGCACAGTTGCAACCAAAGTTTCCAATTGATTCTGTTTTTGTCTCAATTGAGACAATATACCTTCCTGTTCGGACATTTCGCGTTCAATCTCAGCCAACTCTTGTGGATTGATTTCAACCTGGACGGATTGTCCCATTCGACCACGCATTGCCCGATTACCTCCGCCACTCATCGCACCGCTGATTTCAATCAATTCACCTTTTAGTGTAACAACACGAAAACGTTGCTCGCCGTAGGCAATCCGCGAACCTTGATCTAAATCATTCGCGACAAGAGTATCACGTAGAGCATAATAAAAAGCAGGGCGAAAACGTGCATCAGGAGTACGAATCAAATCAAAAAGTCGCGGAGCATTCTCGGGTGTTTGGATTTCAGTGTTGCATTTGTCTAATAAATGCTGTTGCAAGTGCAAGACGATTACTGTAGCGCGACCTATGTCATGCTTTTTTAGGAATTCTATGCACCATTGACCGGTTTCTACCGTATCGACGACAATGTTGTCCAAGGGACCACAGGCAGTGGAAATGGCGACGTCGTATTTAGCATCAATAGCTCCTAAATCACCCTGTGTAGAAAAAAATAGCAACAAATATTAAATTTTAATTTTGTTAGTAAAAACTATAAATTACCAATCGACCATAAAAGCCAGGAATTTTCCCTTCGCGCTTCTGTTGCATTAACGCATCTAAAACGCGATTTTTACTCGAGGAGGCTTGCATAGCGGCTTTAGACTCTTGTACTTTTGACCTTGTCGACCTGAGATGATGCAGTAATTGTTCTTCTTTCGCCTTTATCCCTGGTAATTCACTATTAGCTTTCTGTAGTTCCTTTTCTTTAGTGGGAATCACAGAATTTAATTTCTTTGTTTCATCAGTTAATTGTTGGATATTAGTGCGAATTTCCTCATACGTTGCTTCAAGTTTTTGTAACTTTTGTGTCTCCTGATCGGAATTTCTTGTCAACACTTTCAATTCACTCTCGGCTACAGTAAACTATATAAAAATAATATTAATTAATAAAAATAATTTAATAAAAATATAAATAAAATAACTTACAGCTGTTTTAGTTTCGGTGACAGCATCCTTTAAAACCTTCAAGTCCTCGGTTAAAATGTCCTTTTCACTTTGTAAATCCTTGGTGAGGTCTTTCATTGTAGCCAGGTGATGCATTTTCTCTTTTTGAAGTTCTTCTACTTTTGGCGTTAACTTCTCAATTCCTTTTTCACAATCAGCGATTTTCTACCACACAAATAACAAAATTAATTATAATGAAACAAATTACATAAGTAGTTTCTTACTGCTTCGATTTCTTTAGGTTCCTTTTGGTATTTCTCCAATTTTTTCTTTTCATTCTCCAACTGCGCTTTGTACTTGTGTCGATCGGAATTCATCTGTTGCATTTGTGCCTGCAGCTCGACATGCTGACTGTTTGCACAGTCATATGCTTCTTTTAGAGATTCTTTGCGCTTTTCCATGACTTCGTATTTCTTTGCAACGTCTTGTAACTCGGCTTGCTTTTCCTTCTTCTGTTTGCTGATATTATCCAACTTGCTCTTCATTTGTTCGACTTCTTTTTCTAATTCTTCCTTTTCTTCGATTACTTCTTTCGCGTTTTCTTTCGTAGCATAGCTGAATAAATATTAATAACAAATATAAACTAAATTTTACTCGTAAAATGTAAAAACTTACATATTGTGTTGATATACAACATTCTTCTCCCTAGCAATCTCATTTTCTAGCTTAAGAAATTCCACAGCTTCCTCCATAGGTTCTCGAAGAACTTCCACTTCATCTTGAACAATTTTTAAACGATTTGCCTTTTCCGTGCGTTTCTCCCAATAAACTTCAACGCGTTCGGCAAGTTGAAGCAACGGTTCCTAAATATTCAAAAAAAACATTAACTAATGTTTTTTCTCATCTAATTACACAAAAAATACAAACTTTATATCTTGTAGTCCCAATAATATCCTCCAAATATTCCAGCATACCAGAATCGCTACCATTCGACTTCGCCGGCATCATTGCAATCTGTTCGACCTCTCCTTGCAGAATCAAAAACCGATTATGTTTCAAATCAATTCCATTCTCTTTTAATAATACCGCCACTTCTTTAAAGTGCACTCGCCGATTGCCAATCGTATAATACGATGAGTTATCTTTATTAACCGTGCGCGAAACAACAAATTCGCTGTTTGGAACATCTTCGAATTCCTCATCAGTTTTATCGATAATTCGACAGAAGTGTACAGAAACCGTCGCGCTTGGAACATTCGTAAATTTCGACGAGTTGTGAATTAAAACTGACAATTTCTTTGATCGCATTCTATTGGCCCTGAAGCCAAACACAAACAACATTGAATCAATGACATTACTTTTCCCACTACCATTAGGACCAATGATGGAATTAAATGATTTGTGGAATGGCCCCAGGACGACATTATTAGCATAGCTTTTGAAGAAGCTGTTCACTATTTTTGTGATCACTAATCTTGGACCTTTGTTTTCAACACTACAATATGGAACTGGTGCTGGCGGAATGTAAATGCCATCCACTCTTACTGCTCCTTCTTCATCAGATAGATTTAACTCATCGTCGGAATCACTTGATACGTCGTTTTCAGCTCGCGGTCTTGATTTTCTACCCATGATAACTTCAAAAATACAAAATAATCAAAACTTAACCTTTAAAGATTTGCTTGTCTTATAACTTGTGTAAATTTATAGTTAAAAGGCAAACTTAAGTTGTAAAAGATGTAGAAAATGACTACTTACAAACAAGAATAATATAAAACACATAAAATATTCAATTAATTAATAAAACTTCACAAATTAGGACACAGCGTCCGTTACTTCAAAAAGCGGTTGTGAAACAAACGAAGCGTTTGAGATGGCGCATGCGTATTATTCCTCATATCGCGTTTGTCAACAGAAAAAGTGCGCAACCCAACAAACGTTTAACCTGATACTTTACATGCACCTGTAGTATTGTAAACAAAATAATCGAAATAATTAATAATAACATCATGACTACTCTAGATGAAGATGTAAATAAGTTAAACATAAATCAAGAAAGTGATTTATCATCTTCAGGTAACACAAAACTCATAATATGACTTTAAACTTAATATAATCATTTTAGAGGCGAACTCTGATGAAGAATCCTCAGAAGAAAGTGATGTAGAAATAAATTTCACAGTAGGAATGTGGGATTTCAACCAATGCGACCCAAAAAAATGCTCTGGACGTAAATTAGCGCGTCAGAATTTAGTAAAATGCTTAAAAATCAAACAGAAATTTCCTGGTCTTGTTCTCACACCAACAGGAAAAGGAGTAGTTTGTCCTAATGACAGAGAAATAATCGAATCAAAAGGTCTAGCTGTAGTTGACTGCTCATGGGCACGCATTGACGAAACACCCGTCGGTGCATTAAAAGCAGCATACCCCAGACTACTACCATATTTAGTAGCTGCCAATCCAATAAACTATGGTAAACCATGCAAATTAAGTTGTGTGGAAGCCCTGGCAGCAGCAATGTATATAACAGGCTACAAAAAAATAGCAGAACATTATCTAGACCAATTCAGCTGGGGCCATTCTTTCATAAAACTGAATGAAGAAGTTCTCGACATTTACGCGGGTTGCACCGACAGTGCATCAGTAATCACCGCACAAACGAATTATATACAAAAAGAACAGGATTTACAAGCACAAAGACGAGGTTAGAAGTTAATAACATCACTTTATAAAAAATTAATTAAGTTTTGTTTTAGTTGTTGACTATCCACCTTCAAGTTCATCTTCGGAAACAGATGAAGACAATGATTAATCTAATCTTTTGAGTAAAAAATTATCCTCATGATTAAATACATAATTATTCTTAACATTATACGCGTTTGTATGTCTGTTAGGAAGCATTGACTTCCTCTATGGTCAAATGCGCAATAAACCTTAACCTCAATTGTAACGCCGGTCGCAATGTGCGCACAACCGCCTCCAGTTCCTTCTTCATACTATCGCCGACAAACATGTACTTAATATGATACAACAAGTCACAAATCGGTTCCATGTGATTCAGATTACTCTGTGCATGATCTACCTTTGCTAATAAATCGTACAACGCATGCGTCAATTCAACAATCGCCATATTGAAGCGGTTTAAAAACGGGCCCACCAGATGGCACACCATGAGAAACTGTTCCTCCGTACGGACAACATCCGGTAAACGCTCACGTACCCATCGAGGAACACTCGCAATATGTCCCGGTCCAGCATGATGCCACACGGAATGAGCCAGCGCCAACATATAGCTGAATTTATTATACAGCATGCCTCTGTGTGTTTCTTTAAAGTCTAATAATCTAAACGGAGATGAATCCCATACATACGGATCCATTTCAGCAATTGTTTCCAGCAGGCGATCATGTAAAACAGTCCAATAGGACGCTGGTAACGCAGATAATAACAACCCAACTGCATTTATCCATTGATTGATTTGTTCTGTAGGTATAGCGATGTATCCTCTTAGGATAACATCAAGTAAACCGTTGGCTACTGCAGGTGGACCTGCACTCAGCGCCATTAACTCTACACAACTTGTGTATAATATATGTGCGCCTGCGTTGGGGAATTCGTTAAACCGCCAATCAGTGAGATTCGCTGGTGAGGCGCCTGATATTGTATCAACTACTCTTTTTACCAATTGTATGTAATAATCTAGTTCAGGTATCCAGACATCATCACGCGCTAGATAAACTTGATAAGGTTCCGAGAGGGTTTCTTTGAGTGCGCCTAATACTGCGGCAACCAACCGACGCTTCAATGGCGGACGATCGTGAAGTTTCGCTTCGTAGTAATGCAAAGTGTTGTAGAGATAAGTCACTGGACGATCGTGGAACTTGTAGAGACAACCGAGGTGTTCCAGGAGGATTTCTAAACTTTTTGTAACCTAAAATATAGAAAATTTAAATAAAAAACACAATATTTATAGGTTATGAAAATATTTTTGCATACCTGTTGAATTTCCAAAAACCGATGAACAACTATATCAAAAACAGGCAGAAATCTTAAGCAAACATTGCCAAAATACGGATGATACCCTCCAGTCTGTTCCTCCGGTGCAAATTTCTCCGGATACTTCCGATGAAAGTCCAGATGTCGATCATGCCAACTCGTTTGATTCCAATGATCCGGCGAGTTGTCTTTGACAAACTCCTGTACACGATTTCTAAACTCTGTCGCTTTCAACAACACAAGTTGAATAATAAACGAACAAACTTGCGCTTCAGGACCCTCTTGTGTCCGCAATGCTAAACACAAAACCAATCTATCTATTGTAACGATATTATACTTCCATATCATATCGTTGATGGTATCCACGCATTTATTCACATGTTGACCGCCTGGTGAGTTACTAAACTCAAACACCAAACTATCGCAGAATTTACGCAGATGTGCGGATAGCGCACGCGCACCAATCCTTTCTAGGATTTTATACGCAATAGGTGTAATGTGGTCTGTTTCAAGCAACATCTTCCAAACCAAACATAAAAACAATGGCGGCGCACCCGGCACACCAAAATGCGCTAAAATATCATTTTCGTTATTCATCGAAGCCCATTTCCTGTATTCTTCCTCCACAGCTTTCTTCAGTTGTTGTTTATTTTCCCTGGCGACTTGATTCTGTGAAAAGAAATCAGCCAACGCTTTCGGGAAACATTCCAGTGTGTGTGGTGCCCATGCATGCGGTGTACTCTGCGCAATCGTCGTAAGTAAATCCAAACACCAAGTACCATCGGGTCCGGTGACATGCGTGGCTCTAGCTAATGTCAAAACTAACGCACGGTTCAATTCTTCAGACTCAGCTGAAACCAACGTCTTGGGTTCACTAAGGAAACGTGATAATTCCGGTTGTACTTCAGCACTGCCCAAACCAGTGATTAACCTCAACGCAGTCGACTCAACACAAAGATGTAGTTGAGTTTGATTTGCTTGCGGGACAGCAGCAAGCGAATGCAAATGACTCAACAACTGCACTCTGTAATGCGGATGGATATGATGCATACGATAACTAAACATCTCCAAAAGTGTATACAGAGTGTTCCATGCATGTGATTTATAAACAGTCGGCAATAACTGACTAATAAAACCCTTGATACCCAGGGATTCAATTTCTGTATAAACCAATAGTCGGCTATATGTTTCCACCAGCGCAGGCGCAAGCGGCAGGCCTGATTTAGTCTGTGCTAGTTTAATAACATGTGTGACTATGCTATGTATCAGCGACATCTTTGAATGCACCGTTAATGAATCCAGCACCGCCATGCTAAGTGGTGCTGTAGGTGGCGCTGCGGACTTGGCACTTCCCTGAATAGTCTCAACCAAAGCAGCCATAGGTTTACTAAAGTAATCCTGATTAGTAGAATAAGCATTACATAACAATGCTATCCGATAATCTGGACCCATCGCAAGCGGTGGGGCTAAATGTTGTAGAAAGTCATGATGTGCACGTAGTCGTGGTGGTATAGCCCAAGCAGGATGACCTTCACTTGATGCTTTCTTAGTTAAATGAATCCATATACAAGTCATGGCCATTTGTCTCGTGCATTGCGGTTGATTGAAATCAGGCACTGGTAGAGGTGGTTCATCATCAGGGAATAACAGCTGATATAACCTCAAAACCGGCAGAAAATTACTCAGTGGGTTTCTCTGGATGGAACCTGATATAAATTGTAGTAACACCCACATGAGTTGATCCCGTCCCTTTTTAAGATCCCTGCCTTGAAGACGATCATGTAGTGCTAGTACAATATTCGGAAAACTCGAAAATTGAAACAAGACAAAATAAATTAATTGTGAGGATAGATGGAGCCACAATCCTTGTGTGTCTGCTCCTTCAATCTCACTCTTTTCCATTGCTAGGACAACTAATTCAACTAGTTGTTCTTCTAGGGCTGCGCAATGTTGTTTATGTTGTTTTTGTAAGCCCAGCATTCCGCAAACCATGTCTCTGCTGTATGGTTGTTCAAGGACATACCTTAAGAGTCCGGTTTGTTTAGACATAAGGTCATTGGTGTATGGAAGGGTTCCTTTTAGGGTAAAACGCAGTGTGATTGGGTCTAATTTCCAAGGATTGACGAGATGTTCAGGACATCCGCTGTGTTCTACGACAGGACGCATTTCTGCCTGACCGACGATGGAGACCATTTGAGCGCATGCGCGGAAACTGTCGATGTATGTTGAGAATAGTGATGAGAGTCTCCAATGTGGGCAATCAGGGTAGGCTTTTTGTAATTCGTTGACGAGAAGGTAGCCAGGGAGTAGGCAGACGTTGCGATCCATGATTTTATCAGCGAGTTCAAGAAGGGCTTTTGTTTGTGGTTGGAGGCCTGCATTTAGGAGTTTCGGGAGGCTTTTTGCTCGTTCACAGCAACCCTAGAAGGAAAAAATTATGTTTTTGTTTATAGTTTATAAATTATGGAAAAATAAATATAAAAAATTTGTAAATATACAGCGTAGCCATTTTATCAAGTTATAGTGAAGTGTCGTGATGGTGTGTATTGGGTTGCCTAACTTTCAATCACATAACCTATCATTAAATTTCATGGAGCAAGAATATTTTCAGGGTTACAATGAGATAAAGTTACATTTAAGAGCAAAAAAAAACAAGTTGTACACAAAATAAAAATAAATGTGAATGAAAATAAAACAAAACTTACTTTCATAATCTCCCTAACCCCTTTATATTCAACCAAGTCAATCACCCTTTTGAGCAATGCAAAACACTCCAGCCAGAAATCCTGATTCTGATAAGTGAGTTTATCATAGCTCACAATTGTCTCACAGGTAAGTCTTGCTGGTAATGCTTGGGTCTTTATCAACTGCTCCAGCAACTCCATGAGCAGTTGCAGCTGACTGTATGAGCTGGTACTCGCCACAAACAGAACTTGTCGCACCGCATTTTCCTGCACATCGCTGTTGGTGTTCTTCAGCGAGCCGGTTAACTCCTGCAGGTAGACGTTGAGTTTGTCCGCTTCGTTCGCCGGTCGGTGCACGAGGAAACAACTGAAGGCTTCTTCAATGCCTTCCACTTTCAGAATATCGTTCAGAATCGTGTTTATCGTGTTATCACCCATTGCGCACAAGTTTCACAGCACACTAGTTAATTAAACACGTTCATTTTGTTTGAAATCATCTAATGAAGTGTTCTTAGAGATCATTTGATATTCGACGCCAAGTCGTCAACAGAACTACTGAATTCTTATTAAAAACAAGCCGGCTATGAATTGACATAAAAAGCATGCAGAATGAATCAAGTCAGCGACGATACTAAAAGCTATGCAAGTTACTAAAATATAACCAGGAATATCCCTAGATGAATGACGCTGTATTCGAAATGACAGAAATTTAGGTTAAAATTATACGTAGTAATGACAATTCTAAACTAACGCGTATAAATCAACTGTCACTGTCACAGAGTGCGTTTGTTGTTTGTTGTGCATTTATTTGTTTTGAAAACTTCACCGAAACAAAAACCCGGATAAAAATGAATCTAGAATTACTAGGTAAGAAAATATAAATTTACCTAACGTAGAAATTAATCCCGAATTTAATTCCAGAATCATTTGGCCAAAACTACCCAGAGGTAACTAATATTTCAACTAAAACGCAAAAATTAAGGTTAAAAACCCTTCAATTAATACTAATAATTCGATTAAATTCAACAGGAATTCGACGGGACGTTGGACGGCTCTTCAGTTGCAGTAACATGCTCGTTCAACAAACGCGGAACACTCTTAGCAGTCGGTTGCAATGACGGTCGCATCGTAATCTGGGATTTTCTAACAAGAGGAGTAGCAAAAATCATCTCAGCTCATGTTCATCCAGTTTGCAGCATCAGTTGGTCAAGAACAGGCCATAAAATAGCATCAGCTTCAACAGACAACACTGTTTGTATTTGGACTGTGCTCACAGGAGAATGTGAACAAAAGTATAGATTTCCATGCCCAGTATTGAAAGTACAGTTTGAACCACGAGGAGTTGAGAGATTATTGGTTTGTCCCATGAGACATGCTGCTGTGCTTGTGGATACTAATGGAGGGCATCAAGTTTTACCTATCGATGAAGATGTAAGTCAAAAAAATGAAAATTTCAACAGAAAAATAACTAATTTTTGATTTTTTGTATTTTTTATAGGCTGATTTAAATATTGTGGCATCTTTTGATCGTCGAGGTGAATATGTGTACACTGGCAATGCAAAAGGCAAGATTATTGTATTAAATGCTAATACCCTGGCAGTACGTGCGAGTTTCCGGATTGTTTTGGGCACATCCAATGCCACAGCAGTTAAAAGTATTGAATTTGCCCGTCGGGGTGATTGTTTCCTCATAAACACCGGCGATCGAGTTATCAGAGTCTACAATAGTAAAGAAGTGATTGCTTGTGGTAAAGATGGCGAACCGGAACCCATACAAAAGCTACAAGATTTGGTTAACAAGTAAGCTGTCAAAACTAAACTAACCTCAAAATATTTTTTTACTAATTACTTAATTTCCTAGGACAATGTGGAAAAAGTGTTGTTTTTCTGGCGATGGTGAATATATCTGCGCTGGTTCAGCACGTCAACATGCCCTCTACGTCTGGGAGAAATCAATCGGAAATTTAGTGAAAATCTTACACGGAACAAAAGGCGAGTTATTATTGGACGTCGCATGGCATCCTGTACGACCAATCATAGCGAGTATCTCATCGGGAGTTGTAAGCATCTGGGCACAGAACCAAGTCGAAAATTGGTCGGCTTTCGCACCAGATTTTAAAGAACTTGATGAAAACGTTGAATATGAAGAACGCGAGAGCGAATTTGATCTGTCCGATGAAGATAAATCGGTTGCAAGCGGCGGCGACGCGAAGGAAGACACCGAGTGTGATGTTGACGTATTAGGTGTTGATCCGGTTGCAGCGTTTTGCAGCTCCGATGAAGAAAACGAGAATTCAGATTATTTACAATTCTTACCAATCGCGCCGGACGTTGAAGAACCGGAGGATACTTGGGCACCTGAAGCTGTCGTTGTTCCGCAACCACAGAGTTTAGATTCACCACCGACGAAGAAAAAGAAGTACCGGTCATATGATATTCAACTACAGCACTCGAATGACGGAGGTAAGCGACTGAACATTTTGACAGTTGTCATTTGACATTCACCGATAAAAAAGAACTATAAACATGTTTTGAATTTTACAGAGGTGCATCCGATGCTCTTGAACAACAAAACAAAAGATAAGCAGAACGCGATCGGTGGCAAGAAGACAATCGGACGACCACGCAATAAATAAATCTTAATGATTATACTGTTTGTAAGTAGACTGTCAACAGCAAACAACATGGCCGACGTTTATCGTCTATTTTCTCACTTATTATATACAATAAGTTAAATATTTACAAAAATATTACTCAGTGTACTAGTTATTTCTATGTATTCAAAGGCAGGTTTATGCGTGTGTCCGTCGTGGTTCGCTTTTTCTTCTCATTCGTTAAATTCTAACATATTTTTATTTTCATTTCTTGTATCATCATATTATCTTTGTTTTCTTTTTTATATAAACATAGTGAATTAAAATAATACAGCTTAAATTCGGGCGTCCCAAAGATGTACATCATCATGTGTGTAAGTGTGTTCTGTGTGTGTGTGTGTTGGTGTAAAATGTCTCGCAGAGGAAAGAAAACTTTGGTTTCAGCAGCGGCCATCTTGTTGTTCGAGTTGTTTCTCTTGTGTTGTGTGTCAAAATCAAAATAATAACTTTACAAGATTAAAAATTACAACATAAAATAATTATACAATTAATATTGTTAGGAACCAAGTGCTTATAAATTATTAAATTACTTAATATTATAATATTGTTTCGCTTGCATGCAAAAAAAGAATTTTGCTCGTCGTCGTCCATCTTGTCATCATCGTCTTGTCGTTATCCATCTCGCGAATTATTGTTGGTTTCTACATTTATACAAAAAAGAAAAAAGACAAAAACTATCCGTGTTTCCCAGCCACGTGTGCTAATTAATTGATGCAATATTCATCAATTAATTAGTCGTGATTCTTCTGCGCATGTCAACATTTGCATCACGCCTAGTTTTACATATTGACCTAATATTAACATAGGAATGTTGTGCCCGCTATGCATTCGAAAACCAAAGCGGGTGCGTATTATTTACGTTTAGTCCGTCTCTGGATGGCATTCGTTTTTGTTCGCTTTTTTATCGACATACAGCAATAATACATTGAATAGATTCGACTAAACCTATATCATCATCATCATCATCATTCGACATGTATGCACATTATTTAAAAAATAAAATAAATAAACAAGTGTTAATATAATCATTGTTAAATCATCATTATTGATTGTAACCGGATCGTTCGCGGCGAGAGAGGTTAAGAGAAAAAAAGCTGTATATATAAATCTATATAACAAATGCTTCCGCGTATAAATAATTACTTTATACAAATCAATAATCATTTCTTTTGTCATCATCGTCGTCATGTCCATCGTGCGCGCTGCACGTAATGCATACATACGCGCATGCGCACTAGCTCGCACACAATTTTTAACTGGATAAACTGCACTAGTTCAGTTCTCGTCCACGCGCAGTCGCTCGTCGCATTTTTTTTTTTTTTGGTCAAGGCTTTGTTTAAATTTCTTCAGTCAGCCGTCAGAGGGCGGCGGCCATCTTGTGTAAATATCGAAATATCTCGCGCACCGTGTTCTACAACCGAATTTGTTTATTTCACGTGAATATCCAACTACGTAGGTCATGGGATGAGGCGCTTCTCGGACGCGGTCGTCATCGTCGTCGGATGCTGTAGGTGGCGCTGGTGTTGCAACACGACGGCGATCGGCAGATCCGAGTTGGGCGCCGTCGCCGCCGTCGTCTTCCATTTGACGCCGAACGTGGGCCGCACCGGCGGATAGCCGCTGTCCACGCAGTCCTTACTCATGCTGGAGAGTTTAGCGCGTCGCTTGTAGCGGAGGTAGGTCATCGCGCACACGATCACCACGAGGAACACGGCTATCGTCGCTCCGCCGGCTATGCTCGCCTGCGATAGCATGTAATCTCGCTTCGCTTCTAAAAGTAATCAGAAATAACAATTAATTTATCGTTTGCTTCACAGATTATCGAAAAACTTACGTAAATACGATCGATCCAAGTCCTTGTATTCACATCGAACGCCCATGTAACCAGGAGAACATCTAAAAAGGTAAAATAACAAGCTTACAACTTGCAAATGTCATATTTAAGGTTATACTATCGCCACCAAGCGATGTGAGTTTGTACTTACTCGCAATTGTATAGCAAAGAAGGACCTATTTTCACCGTGAAACATGTCGCCCCATTGAGGCAATACCACGCCGCGTAGTCCGGAGGGCATTCGTATGTGTGGAATGTGACGTTCGGTCGCGACGTCGGCGGCCGTGGTTTCGGCGTTGTGCGGGACGAACACGCATCTGCAAAAACAAAGTGAGGTTAGAGATGTCGTCTGTCAAAGAACATACACATAACCGAATGAATTATATATTTGTAGATACATCGCTTTGATAATATATGGATACGAAATTAAAACATCAGGAGGAGCCCCGATTCCCATCGTTAATAACACCGCGGGCAGCGAACGAGCGAACTAGGTTGCCTGCGTGCGCATACATCTTACAATTCGAACAAACGCCGAACTCGCAATCGAGAAAGTATTATATTTGATTATGCGCCACAACAAAACGTAATAATACACATACATACACATGGTATGTTGTGGTGTGTGTGTGTGTGTGTGTTGGCTTCGTTTCTCGTTTTTATTCAGTTTCATATATGGCGCGCCGACGACGAGTTTACTCATAGGTGGTCCGGTTCTTCATCCCACATATTTAACAATACTTCACACGAATCACACGCTCGACATCAGAGTATCAGACGGAGAACAACTAGCGCAGAATCAAAGAATCAAAGAATCAAAATCGGAATCGGAATGAACAAGTGGTAAGGCAGCCATTTTGATTTCGGCGGATGTCAATGGCGCCCATGAGACAAATTCATTTTCATTGATTGTATAAACTTGGTAGGTATATATACAATGTGTTCACAGGTAGAATAATAAAAAATGTATGCGTTTGTTGAATGTGTTGACGTGGTTGGGCCGTGCACGTTCGGGAATGTGTCAAGACGAAAATTAAGCCGATTGTAAATTATAAATCACACGCCGCTGTGTGTGTGTATGAAGAGGTGCCGGCGCGCTTGTTCCCACAAGATTTATGGAATCGAGCGCTTCACGCCCCGGCACTATTTCATCCGAAAACGAAGCCGACGCCGCCACGACGACGACCAAGAGGAGAGCGACCATATCGAAACCGATCGGATAATAAAAACTGGAGCTGACCATCGCGCCATCGCGTCCTTCGATAATGTCCGGCCGCATTCCGATACAATTTGTAAGTTTTCCCAAGCACCACAAAACAAAACAAAACAGAAACAAGGCGAAGAGGAGACAACAAGTTAAGTTAAGAAGAAGTAATCAACGAAAGTGTTCAATTTAAGGGGATTAACTACCAAAAAATAAAAAAAACCTAAAACTTAAAGGTAACGACGAAAAATATTAAAATTTCTAGCAATTATGAGCTGGAATATTTTTTCAAAGACATGACATCGATGATAACATTTGAAATATTGTTGTAATTATGATCCCAACATCCCTACAAATTGCAATGCAAATTTCTATAACTTAAGCACGATTTTTCAGCTAATTTGTTGGGCCGTCCGTGCAAATTACAGACCGCCATCGCAGCACTCTAATTACCTCTCGCCGTTTGTTTTATTATTATAATAAGCAGACCTACCGGGAGTGATCATTGAATGATACGAAAAGAGTTTTTTTTTTACTTTTACCTTTAAAGTGGTACTTTAATCACTGATGGCTAAAGCCATGACTAAAGTCCTTTAGTCACGAGGTGAAATTTTAGGATAAGGAGTTCAAATACAAAAACTAAACGTAAAAATAAAGTAAAAATTCGAAAAAATCGCTAAACGTGGTTAAAGTGGCACTTTAATCACGAATGGCCAAAACCATGACTAAAGTACTTTAGTCACGAGGTGAAGTTTTAAGATAAAAGGTTCAAATACAAAAACTAAACGTGGAAATAAAATAAAAATTTGAAAAAAATCGCTAAACGTGGTTAAAGTACCACTTAGCGCACTTGATACTTAATATACTAAAAATCTGTCAATGATGATGATAATGACTTGACGAAATCAACAAGATGTGTAGACGTGTAAATTGCTCCAAATTGCACCCCTCGGAGTGTTTGAAGAGGACCCAAATAGACAAAAAAGTGTCAGTTGTGCGGTGGTCGCTTTTTGCCATTTTTTTAACAAGGGTACCACATAGACCATAAGGTACCTCTCGAATCCTCCACTGCGGTCCACCTCAAAAGAAGATAATAATTGGATGATAATTCGTCTAATGACCGTTCAGTTGTGCACCACACACGAATCGGCGAGTTTTTTTATTTTATTTTTAATCATCAACAATATGTGTGCGCGACATCAAACCAGCACACACGGCAGTTGGTGGCGCGAGTAACAATGGCGCGTCGGAATTGTAAAGTGATGATGCGCGCAAATTCTCTTCGGCTGCGCGATGGCTGCGGCAGCCGGTGGAAGATGAAAGCGCAGAAAGCGCGAGAACGCGCGCGCGAATGTTTGCCCGTTGTCGTGTTCGGCCGTTCCATTTATCTGTTTACCATCGAGCACCAGAGAACCCGATGACTGATGATCGCCATCACACGAATACAAACAGGCGGAGTGATGGTGACGCTGCATGAATTTAATTTAAAATTTCAAACGATGCGAAAACTGTGAATGGATCTATTCGGATATGTCAATATAACCAATCACATTGAGGAAAAATGAGATTATTTCGTAAACTACAAGAGCAATCAAGTTGAAATTTGAAATACTTGTTTGATATCTTATTATTTATGATTTCCCGAAAGATTTTTAATTTTTATTGAATAGTTTTTGATTTATTAAGCAAAAACTTGATAAAAATGAGTGTAAATTCTCACAAAATTGACTTAATCCACAAAAACACGATTATTTAGTAAACCACACAACCAATCAAGATGAAACTTTCAAAATTTATTTATAATCTAATTATTAATAATATGTGCAAAGCATTTTAATTTACAATTAGTAGTTTAAAAGTTATTAACAAAAATCTTAACAAAAACGTCAAAACTTGCAATTAAGTTGACTTAAGTTTACTTTAAACTCAAATATTTCACAAACGACACAACCAATAAAATTGAATCTCACAATACTTATTCAATATCTTATTATTAATAATCTCTCCAAAATATTTCAAATTCCAATCAATACTTTCAAAATTATTAACAAAAAACTTAACAAAAACGTCAAAACCGCAATAAATTTGACTTAAAATCACTTTAACCTCAAATATATCACAAACGACACATCCAATCAAGTTGAATCTCACAATACTTATTCAACATCTTATTATTAATTATCCCTCCAAAATATTTTAAATTCCAAGGATTACTTTAAAAGTTATAACCAAAAAACTTATCCCAACACTTTTTTCTCCCACATTTTTATTTTTATATATTTAATACATTTAGCCCGAGGCAAAAATGATTTGTACCTTCACCGCAGAAGTCCAAAGAAAAGAGTTTCCTACTGAATGAGCTACCTCCTCTCCTACCTGCCGACTGCCCCTTACCGAAACAGCGGAATGCGCGGCGCGGCACACAAACAAACATCAATTTAGATTGGAGATTATAACCGATTATAAATTCACTCGCGCGCATCATAAAAATTCCAACCACCATCACCATCACCACTACACGACGACCACCGAAAACCCAGTGTGCATCAGTGCTTAATTTGTACAAATATTTTAATTAACTGTTAATTGCTTTTTAATTTTTATGAATTTTACGACGCATAAATCTCAAAATTCAAAACCTTCTTCTGCTTTCGAATTTTTCGGAATTTTCTAAACATATTACCAATTTCGTGCACATTACCATCGCCCAAACAAATCTTTACTGACAGGTAAATAGCTAAATACATTTCAGGGGTAGTTAACCCCCGAACAATCGTGCATTATGCCGTATTATCTGCATTATTTGCAAATAGGGGTGGACAGTTGGACAGTCGGACAATTCACAAAGCAGTTTGCGCTTCTAATCGGATTTGAAATTTATTCTCGTAGAAAAATTATAATTTAAGGGATGATGATGATGATAATGATGGCACGTGTCTTTCGCTTGTTATTTTTTACGTTCTATAATTTCTCATTTTTCAAAAATGAGGAAAAGAAGCATAAAAGAAAAAAAATTACACGCAGCAGACGCTACTTTACACCACCGACAACCATATGCCTCTGGTGGAAACCACCCCGGCGCAAAACTCTCAAAGCCATTATCGATCTAAATTGACTTCTACTAATTTCGGGTGTAATTTAATTTTTCGCCCTTTTACCAAACCTCTCCACGGCCCTTGAAAGATGTTGCAACTTGCTTTTCTTTTTTATTGTCTGAAAATTTCAAGAGCAACATGTGTTATACGCGGAAATCATCTCCGTTAGATTTTTTTTAAAAGTATTTTTTCTTAAATTTATTTAGGGGGTTGTAAAATGTTACATTTTGTAACCCGTTTCATGGACGTAAAATACATCATTTGCTACTTAATAACCTCCCATATGCCAATCATGATTTTCTAAGGTTTTAAAATTTACAGAGAAAAAAAAAAAGAAGAAAAAGTTAGCATCTGGTCAAAATTCCGCCTGAAATTCAATCCCTAATTTTATTTTCTGACCAAACTGCACCACAAACACAAAAGTCACCCCTCATTGACCTAACTTTTACTTTCAAAAATCATATTTCTTCCTTTTATGTCCAAATTCGCACGTGTCCAGCAATATTAGGGGTGCCTTTTCATTTGATTGAATTCAATCCCCTTGGTTCTGATTACTATTGTACATTTAGTCCAATTGTCCCCTAGATTTAACAAGGGTGTGACCATGACCAAATATCATCCCTTACAATTTGGAACAAAATAAATAAAAAAAAGTTTTATCTTGATTAATTCGTCGCCGGCGCTCACAACTTAATAGAGCAATTAAAGCCGAGTTTAAAGAACGATTTAAAATTCCTCCCGAGGAATCTTATCATTGTCGTTAATTTCGGAGGTCGTCGTAGGTGTCCTCAGGTGGCCGGCACGATTTCCGAGAAGTGCGCGCGCTGGTCGGTCCAGCGACAAGCGCCAGTTGTCTGCGTCGTAAATTAATTACTCGGCACCCGAGGAGCCAAACAAACACGATTAGATCTCCGCTGGAGTTGGTCACTATCGACGTGTGCAAGGGCTGTGAGAAGGAGTGGATTTAATTGAGCGCCGACAAAAGACACGAGTGTCACATGAGTGAAGGTGAAGATATTTTAAGGCTTAATTTTGGAGAAATTAAGGGGATATATTACTTTGCAGTGTAATAACTTTTGAATTATTTGTTGGAAAAACAAATGCTTTGCAGGGATTGTTTATTATTAGATTATAAATAAATTTTGAAAGTTTCAACTAAATTGGTTAAGTGGATTGAGAAATATTTGTGTTTTTAGTGAATTTAGTCAATTTAATGATATTTTTGAATTATTTAAGTTTTTTGTCAATAACTTTTAAACTATTCATTAGAAATTAAAAATCTTTGGACAGATAATAAATAATAAGATAATAAATAAGTTTTGTGAGTTTCAACATAATTGGTAGTGTCGTTTGTGAGATAAATGACTTTAACGTGAATTTAAGTCAACTTAATTGCAGATTTTGACGTTTTTCTTCAGTTTTTTATTAATAACTTTTAAACTATTCTTTGAAAATAAAAACGCTTTGCACAGATTATCAATAATTAGATTATAAATAAAATTTGAAAGTTTCGACTAGATTGGTGAAGTGGTTTAGAAAATATTTGTGTTTTTATTGAATTTTGTCAATTTACTGATATTTTTGAATTATTTAAGTTTTTTGTCAATAACTTTTAAACTATTCACTATAAATTAAAAATCTGTGGACAGATGATAAATAATAAGATAATAAATAAGTTTTGTAAGTTTCACCATGATTAGTGTTGCCGTTTGCGATATATATGACTTTAAAGTTGATATAAGTCAACTTGATTGCAAATTTTGACGTTTTTCTTCAGTTTTTTGTTAATAACTATTAAACTATTCATTGAAAATTGAAATGCATTGCACAGATAATCAATAATTAGAATATAAATAAATTTTCAAAATTTCACCTTGATTGGTTTTGTGGTTAATGAAATAATCAACTTTTTAATTCCAGTTAAGGGGTGATATTGCTTATTTCCAAAAACTTTCTAAAAGACATCTCCAACTCTCAAAAATATCCTCTTAGCATTGTTCGATGTGTAATTATTTCGCGTTAAACATGCGCTAACAATCGTGCGACTTGATTAATTAATTTTTCGTCAAATTCGGCTGATTCCTCGCCGTAGTGACAAACATTTCGCCAATT